TTATCTTTTAAGCAGAGATTATCAAATTTTCCAATTTATATTAAATGTATCACATATAGAAGACAAGATATTTTCCCAATATTGCTGATATTTAATGTAGCTTTAAAAAGGCGAATTTAGAAAATATCTTATTTTTATAAAATTTGGTCTCGCAAAAACAATTTAAAATAACAAACTATTAGATTAAAGGATTAACTTTTTTATAATATATATAAGGCTGAATCAATTATAAATAAAAGTATAAATTAAAACTCTAAGAATAAAATATTACCACATCATTGTTTAAAGGCATATTTTTATAAAAGTGGTCAATATGTGAAAAAATATTAAAAATATAACATTAAAATAACTATTTGGCGTTTTAAAAATGTAATAAAACAAATAAAAAAATTTCCTCATATTGGCACGTTATATACTATTTGAACTAGGGTTTCTAAACAGTCCGCTTGTTTAGCAAAATAATATTATGTCAGGAGATTTGGCAAATAGTGGTCCAAACCTTTCTTCATGAGCAAAATCTCCAGGTCTTGCGAACTATTTTATTTGAAATGAAATGGAAAACTAAAGAGAATAGGATTTTACAGATTTTGAAACCCTATTTACTCATACGGCATAAAATCAGGTAGGCCCGCCAAAATAATTTCTCGCAATTTGAAGAGTGTCTCCTGTAATTTAAAATTTTGTTACCATGGCAACCCTGATTCAACGATGCTTCAAAATGCCTTTTAAAATGATTCATTATCACCGTAGATGAGTATTATATATCATTGCTAAGCGTGTCAGCGATCTTTTAATAAATAATTGTAAATCGATAATAAATATAATGTTCATTTTTATTTATTGATATATTTAAAATTTATTCCGTTTTCTAACTAAATGATTACAAGTCGATTTCTCGTAATTGATGACGATAGGGAATTAGGACAATTATAAAGAAGCTCACTTCCATAAGATGAAGGAATTTTTAATATCCTTTTTATTTTTATTAATTATATTCTCGATAAAATATTTATAAAAAAAATAATGATGACAACGGAAAATATCAAACTTATTTATTAGGTCAAGCAATAAAACTCAAGGTTATAAATGATGTAATAAATGAAACGCCAAGTTTAAAACTCTAAACATTCGCCAATTTTTTTCTGTTATTTTCTATTTGTTAATTTACTAAAAATAATTTAAATTTGTTTAATCATTTATAAAAAAAAATATATAAATTAAAAATTAATTTTATTTAACATATGTTCAAGAGTTTACTTAGGGCTATAAAATGAGCCATAATAGATATACTTAGTACATCTAATATAAAAGTTGTCCCAATTTTAAAAAATCATTTTTTTCGAAAAATGACCAGGCTGAGCCACTTTGAAGCCCTATATCTCCGGTTATGATAGGAATCTAATATTTTGGATTCGTCAATTACAATACTTTATTAACTTAAATATCAAATTTTAACAAAATCTGAGATGGTCGGGTTGTAAAGTGATTGATTTGACATGGAATGACCCAATGACTCTATATAAAATACGACCAAATGGATACATTTAAGTTGGAAGGGGATGGGGAGGGATTCACTTAATGAAGGAGTTAATTCTCAAGAAATTAATAACTTAAGAGATTTTTCGGTTGAGCAAAAACCTTCTAATGATATCTCCAGTGTCTGATATTATTTTTTAGACTTTTCAAAATTAGTAAATCTCTTCTCCGATTATTCCTAAAAAGTATCGTTACCTATGGATATAAAAATGGCATTTGAGGTCAGAGTATTATTTTTTTTCAAAGATTTTCCATGGACCTAGGCAAATGCAAATTATTAATTGAGAAATCGATGCATAATAACAGGCTAATTTTATTCCTGAAGAAGCATGCCCTAACAGTAATATAACTTATTCTTAAATAAATATAAGCAGATCGATATCGATATTTCGTATCAGCATCTGTTGAAAAAAAATGTGGTATCGGGGCCTTATGACCCTAATTTACTAAAATCTCAGAATCAATAAAGAATTGGGAGAGTCTCAGAACCGTTTAAAACTGTTCAGAACATATATTAAATAAGTTTCCTGGTTTTTGCTTAAGTAAATATATAAATATATTATTGACTCATTTGCAATCTTAAAAAAAAATAATAATTAAGATTTCAAATGCTAAATTTTTCTGTAAAATTTATTCAAATCGCTTTTAAAAATGATTTAGAAATTATAACTTAAATAGAATCTCAGAATCTTTTCTCGATTATTTTAATAACATTGAATTGCACAATTGGATACGAATTACAAGTACAATTTTAACAAAAAACATATTTAATGCCTCGAAACATATAAATTATCGAAAATTATTTGGCCGTACCCACAGATCGGTCATTTTAAAAAGGGCAATTCTCGTTTACCTTCTTATATTTAGTCGTAGTTACAAAGCAAATCTGTCTGATAATATTTGAAAAATTTTACCCATAAAAAGAAATTAATAGATAAAGAAAATAATTAATTTTAAGGCGACAGCTTTATGCCGCCACAACCGCTTCAATAAAAGAATTTTTTTTTATAGAAAACATTTTTTAATAAATTAGGAAAATTTTAGAAACTATTCTATAATTGGATCTAAGTATAGTTGGGTAATTACTATATTTTTTAGCCGTTTAAGCCAATTTTTAACCGGCTAAAAAAATCGGCTGAACCAAGATTTTAGTCGAAATGTATTACTTTGGCCTAGGGGTTTTCCTTAAAAAGATATCAGCTCGAATTTAGAACACACTAATATAAATTTAAACGATTTATGTTAACGGATTTTCTGCGGCAGCAGACTGAAGATAGAAGTTAGCCGACAAACTAAAGTTCTAAGACACGAATTAATCTTCAAAATATAATATTGAGAACTGTAACCAGAACCGCAGGTCACTAACTACCAAAGCCTCTGGTTTTAACCAGCATGGAAAATTCCAAAAAAAAATGAGAGCTAAAAATTAAATTTTATCTCAAATGAGTGGTATTGACTTTCGCTTTAGAATAATATGTTTTGTAATTTAAATTGAAAAAATATTAATTTTATAACTTATATTCAAATAGAACTGGCGTATCAACGATTTTCGCGATGTTGAAATAGTGGGATGAGGGGGGGGGGGGGTGGCTTATGAGTGGTTTTTTTTTCTTTCGTCATATGCTTTAAGGGATGTTTTTAGGAGCCCTCCTCCATACGTTTAAAGATACAATTCTTAGTTTTTCATTTTTATTTCTATTATATGGTTTTTGGAGGAATGAGTTGGGTAAGGAGGAAGGGTGAGGAAGAAGTATATGGGGAATTTATTTTTAAATTAAGTTAAAATCATATTTACCAAACAAAAATTGACAAATTTTCAGGAGGGAAGGTTACGCCAATTATTATATACAATTAAATATATTTTACTCTTAAGACACTTACCCACTTTAAAACAATTATTAATTTGATTATTTTTAAAAAATTGGATTAAAATATTTACGATTCCTTTGAAGCGTAAATTACAGATTTTTTTTTAATTTATATAAAATATATTTATATATTTGAAAATTAAATTATGCTACTTATTAAAATATTTCTCTTTATTCGTAATATGTAGATTTTTTAAATATTTATTTAAGCTTTGTGACTATGACTTGGTTAGGGATGTAACCAGGGAGTTGCCAGGTCAAAATTTTCAAAATTGCGAGAGAAATTGGGTAAAAATTTTTATTTTGCAACTCCCCCCATTAATTCTAATTAATCTACATAGATAATTAAATAATTGAAATTGTATCATACCGGTTTATATAATATATTAATTCTAATAGTCTACATATTTTTAACATAACATGAAAAAAAATCAATATTGTATTTGTAAAATATTTTTTTAAAGGGAATTTTCCATTTTTTTCCACCAAATTTCCAGAGATATTTCCCCCAATTATAATTTTCAGGGAATTTACAATCTTAATTCTGGTACGACTTATTTTTCATACTTATTGCTATTTAGTCTAGGCTAAACAGCTCTTGAACTAGGAGACCCTATTTTAGTTTGTTTTAACGTTTATGTGTTTTGGTGGCATTATTTTTTAACACTCTCTAAGATTTGGCCTTATCTTGATTTTAAAATTTATTTCAGGCCTGACCGGGTTCGGATCTCGACAAAAATTTTTTAAATTATTTTGTTTTTCCAAATTTTTGTAAATTTTAATTTTTTTAAATTATTTTCCACTCAAGTGATTATAAATTTTTCCGCTTTCCGCTTTTCGTTTTAAATATCGTAATATTTTTTTCAACAGTATATTAAAAAGTCAGATCAATGCCCTCATGATCCAATATTCTTAACCAAACATACTTACCCTTTTCTACTATTCAGAGAGGAAGAGTATCTGAGTTGTAGTTATGATTGAAGAAAGAAAGAAAGAAAGAAAGAAAGAAAGAAAGAAAGAAAGAAAGAAAGAAAGAAAGAAAGAAAGAAAGAAAGAAAGAAAGAAAGAAAGAAAGAAAGAAAGAAAGAAAGAAAGAAAGAAAGAAAGAAAGAAAGAAAGAAAGAAAGAAAAGAAAGAAAGAAAGCACTTTTTGACGAAAGGCAATAAATAAAAGTTCGTTCCTTACAATTTTTTTTTCGGTCCAAGCCAGGATCTAAATTTTATTATTAATTTGTTAGCCCACGCCTAATTTTTATTTTTGGCCCAAGTCCCGACCTTGCCCGATTTTTTTAAAAAAAATTACCACACCGACCGGTCGGATCATGAGGCGATTTGCATTACACACTAATCGGTGCTTCATCTTAAATCAAAATGTGATAATATAAATTAGTATGTTATTTAACATCTGATTTCGAGAAAATATTGATTTTATGTTTTTTTTAAAAAAAATTTAACTCTTAACAACAAGTAAATAATCGATTTTAGTGTTTTAAAGATTTATGAATAATAATTATTATAATAATAGAAAACAAATTTTGTTTTATTTTAAATAATATATATATATATAAGCAAATTTGACAAAAAAAATTTGCGATATTTTTCTTTAGACGACAGAATAAATGCTTTAAAAAAATATATACCATAAAGCAATTGATTTGTATATTATTTTTTTATATAGATTCTCAAAAGAAAGACCATTTCCCATCTTGGATAGGAGAGACGAACAGAAAACCCTAATTCTTGATGAATAAAATTATTTTTTAAATTGTAAAAAACAAATATTCTCAAACGATTTGCAAACATTCAAACCGAAGGTATTAATATATATATATATTATAATTTAATTTTTTATAGATCATTATTAATTTCAGTTTTTAAAAGAAAAATTTGATAAGCCTTGAAATTTTAAATTTTAAATAGTATCCTAATTTTTTTTAAAAAAAATAATAAATAAATTGATAAAAAATGTTAAATATTATGATGATGATAATTGTAGATCGTGACTAAACAAGTGAATATTTTTTGTTAATAGAATTCTTTAAATGATAAAATTAGAGCGTTAAATTATATATTTATCGATTATAGCTAACGAAGTTCTCATTTCACAGTGTAGAGTGAAAAACATAATTGGGGCTTATATAAAGATGAAAAGAAATTTTAAAAAATCAAATAATATACTAAAGAAGATTATATATTTAAGATGTAAGTGAGGAGTATTATTATGATGGATTTTAAAATGTTGTGTCGTGTGGTCCATTGATCCCCCATATAAGACTGAATCGTTAAATTGTTACTTTAAAATTCATATAATCAAAAAGTTGCAAGTAGCCTGTATAATTTATTGAGATTTATTAGAACAAGAGATGAAATCGTAATGAATATCGGTTCGGTTTAGGTTTATCAGATAAAAATAATTGTTTATAGTTCAGGTTCGGTTCGTAAATAATATAGTAATATCGATTCAGTTTGAACCTTTAAATCCAAGCTCACACTATACAAGTTTATTAGAATTATGTAAAGAAAAGAACATTTTTTAAAATTTTATCATTTATTTCTAAAAAAATATAACAATATTAAGCCGTAATACAATTACAATATTTTCAAGATTTTCTTCTGTCTACCTTTAAGAGGGAATAATAAGTTTTATAACTGAGAAACATTCCTTTCTATATGCAATGAATTATTAATTTATTATTTCTTCTTAATAAGACATGCGATTTTTTGTCAGCATATTAATTCCAACTAAAAACAACCTTTATATACCTTCTTACTCATATTACCAGTTAAATTGATCGGTTATTGATAGAAATGGCAAATGACTAGTGTTGTTAAATGGCTCGATTTGAGTAAATTTTTAAAAATGGATAACTTAATTATCCTGAAAAATTTTACGCAAGCCTGAAGATTTGCTCCTAGATTGCACAAAGATCAATCTCTCGTTTAGGCAATATTTTTCTGGCTATATTGAGCTAGTACAAATGACTAAATCTTATTTAAAAGTATTTATTATTTGAATAATTAGATTTGAATTAAACGAGTTATTCGAAAAATTTGTATTCTATCATCAGAGCCTACAAATTTAAATTTCCTACGTTTGGAAAACATTAATTATATACTTATCATATATTCACTAATAAATCTTAAATAATTGTACACTATCTTAATAAAATCATTTTGTGTTTTTGTGTGTATATCTATTTATTTTTAATTAAAATTATTAATATAAATTAATATTATAAAACCGGAAAAACCTTTTATAATATTTTTTTTAAACCTTAACCAAACCCTATCCTTTACATAACGGTTTAAAGCCCCATTCAGACCATTTGCCAGACAACGACCAAATTATATTGAAATTCAATACGCCCATTTTCATATATTAAATGGAATCACTAGATCCACTTACAAAAATCTATATATCATACCCCTTAGCACAAAATCATCTGGTTGGCTTGAAACAAAAAAAATCTGATCTTTGCTGGATTCGAACCAAAATCAGATGCTATTAGTAACATAGCTCGTGGCCGACTAAGCCACTCACTACACTTCAAAACGATAATTTTTTTCGTATATAATGATAAATGAATAATGTGTTTAGAGATATTACAAAAAATACATGAATATTAAAACCTATCCGACCTTGAATTCACAGTTACCGCGAACCACTAATTCGCGCTAACTGTGAATACAGGGTGACGGGGAGAACAACTATTGGAAAAATAAAGTTTATTTAAAAAAAAGTCTACATAAGTTAAATAAAGTTTTTCTTTTTTAAAGCATTCATTTAATTTTTTTATATATATATAACAGATTAAGATAGGGGCTATCTTGTTTAAACATGGCTCTAAAAGATCAGAGAATCACTATTTTATTATCTATGAGGGAAGTTGTGAAGAGATCAATTTATGGGAAAGGAAGCCCATCTTCCAGCAGCCAACATTCTTCAACTCCTTCGCCCAAAGTTCATCATCACGACTTAAATTCCAAATTAAAATTGAAACAAATCGATCCTAACTACAATGACCCATCCTACAATTCCCATTTAAATGACCCATTAAACAAGGTCGAAATTTATGACAAATGTAACGTGAGACATGAGTCTAAGCCAAATAAAAGTAGTGACGATGGAGTTCGCAAAGAAAATAGTAATATAAATGACAAAAATTCGACGGATGACTGTTTGCAACCCGTATACTTTAAACACGATGGGAGCCGTTTCGGTAACCCTTTAACGCTCAAACTTAAAATGAATAGTTTTTACGAGTTCTTTGTCCTTCTCAAACCGGACCAATGCAAATTGGTGTAAGTTTAAGCGAATACATAACTATATGTCATATAGGGGAGTTTTTTTCTTAAATTCTATGAGAATTTAGAATTTAAAATTAATAATTTAACTGAGGACCATTTTTAAATTTGAAAAAAAAAATTCCGTTTTTTTCACACAATTTTGCTCTTAGACTTTTGAAACTACTCTTAATATTAATTTATATATTCGGTCTATTCAAAATAGAATACCAATTCAATAATGAAATTATTCGTATTTTCCTTTGAATGAATTGAATAATTTACTATTCGTTTATACCAATCCAATAAGAATTGTATATTTTACTATTCGTTTTAATACGAATACGTAATTATTCGATTGGTACAAAAGAAACGAATACCAATAACATATTATTCGATTCGTATTCATTTTTGAATATATATTATTTTTGTTGTATAAATTAAATTAAATTAAATTAAATTAAATTAAATTAAATTAAAAGATTAAGTATTTCTAAGCATTCGGGAAATAGGTTTTTCAGAAAAATCATATGGTTTTCAAGATTTTAAAAAAATGCCCTCCTTTACATGATTTAATTTTGAAAGACTGGGAAACAATATATATTATTGTTTTAAAGCTTTGAATTATCTTATATCCACGGGGTGTGGGAGGGAGGGAGGGGGGGGGGGTGAAATACGTTATGTATATACTTCTATATACTTCGATATCTTTAAGAAATTTATAAAGTTATAATTAAAGTGTTTTGTATATATGTCAATCATAGGGGTGCACAAATCGAAAACGAGTTCGTTCCCATTGAGCAATGTAACGCAATCAAGAAAGGGAAACTACAATTTTTGGGAATCAATGAAAAATATACTGAAGCTAATCCTATTTATTGGATCCCGTGGAATACGGAAGGATATGATTCTACAAGATCTGGGGATAGAAGAACAATCCATTTAGAATTCCAAGTTTTTATGAATTGAAACAATTATATATATTTTTTTAAATTATAAGAAAGAAAGAAAGAAAGAAAGAAAGAAAGAAAGAAAGAAAGAAAGAAAGAAAGAAAGAAAGAAAGAAAGAAAGAAAGAAAGAAAGAAAGAAAGAAAGAAAGAAAGAAAGAAAGAAAGAAAGAAAGAAAGAAAGAAAGAAAGAAAGAAAGAAAGAAAGAAAGAAAGAAAGAAAGAAAGAAAGAAAGAAAGAAAGAAAGAAAGAAAGAAAGAAAGAAAGAAAAAGAAAGAAAGAAAGAAAGAAAGAAAATAGTAGTTAGATTGTATTTAGTTTATTATGTTAATTTACGTGATACGTGAATTTAAAGCGTGTATGCCCTCTAATGTGGTGGATGCAACAGAGCTGCCTTAGATATTCCTCATTTTCATCTAACTGGATATTTTTTAAGAATTTGGAGTAAAAATATCAGGAGTCTTCCTCACGTTTGTAGGCGAGCCGCACATACATGTAGGCATAACCTTAGGACTATTTTAAACGTCTGTATGCTAGTTAAAAAGGACGTTCGACTAAGCAAAAGCCTACACCTCATTATTTTGTTATTTAGATTATTATATTGGTATTAACGGTTATCATCATTGAGATTAGTGTTAATTTAATACCATTTTTTTTTAAAAAGAAATTGTTATATAATATATTATTTACAAAAATAATGTTAGAATTTATCCCAATCAGTGGCATCTCTTATTTATTTAAAAGAGCTAGAAAAGCCCATTTTCTATTTATTTATCAAGTTTTGAATTAATTAGAAACAACGAGTATATATTCAAAATTTAAATTAATAAATGAAATACTCTGTATATTGATATTGTTTAAATCAACCCATTTTACTATTTTTAATATTATCTAAGCCTCGATTTTCGCGAAAAGAAGACAGAAAGGTTTGGTCATCTTTTGACGAAGATCTCGAGGCATAGAAAATATTTTTTTGGCTAAGATCATGATTTCGCCATTTTTTTAAAACCAAAAATGAGGCTATTTAACAACACCACCCGGCATTATCATAATGTTAATTTCTTTTTTCTCTCTTATTTTTAATCAGGCAGGCATATAATGTTTAAAAATAATTATCGAATATTATTAAAAAATATATCTTTCTTAGATCGATTCATTGGGCACATTCCAGACCGTTTTACAACTAAAAATATACCCGGGAAACAGTAAACAACACATAAATTGGGGAGAATCTCTGCATTACATCGAATATAATTGTCAGCTGGACTCCAGCCTTGGGATCATAAAAATTATCTCCCAAAATACCCACTGATATTATTATCATACACTATTTTATCGTTTTTTTTATTTCTTACAATAAATGCAATAAATCACACCATTTTTTTATAGTCAATTTAATTATTATGTATTTCTCTACACGAAGATATTGCATAATAAGCAAATAAAATATTAACTAGTCAAATTTATGTTTATCAGAAATAATTTTCTTTCTTTCTTTCTTTCTTTCTTTCTTTCTTTCTTTCTTTCTTTCTTTCTTTCTTTCTTTCTTTCTTTCTTTCTTTCTTTCTTTCTTTTCTTTCATCAAAACCATAAACCAAAATGGTTTAATAAATATATATTATATATATAGTTTAAAAGATTAGAGGACACTCGTACAATGAAGATTCATACCACATGCAACCGGGGTTGATGAATAGGTCACACTAAAAAATTATTTTAGGTGATTAAATTTTTATTTTCATAATCTTCTTCCGCATTCGAAGTCTAATTATTATATATAAAATAAAATGATAATTGTTCAAAAATCAAATTAAATTTTGGTATTTTTTTCAGGGCTGAGAACCCGAACTCAAACCCTGAACCTGAACTTTATATATTTCGCTGAACCCAAACCCGAACCCTTTTTTAACATTTAGAATTCCAAGGTCCAAGCTTTTTTTTTAATCGTGGAAGTCTAAATGACGATATTTCAGAAGGATATTATGATAATTCGCTTAAATAAAATTTTTAAAATAGAAATAGAATACTATTTTTTAAATTATATAGTAGCAATATAATTATATATGTATTATAATTATGATTATAAATTATTTTTATGGATTACTAATTAAAATAAATTTAAAAAAAAAAAATTATGTTTCTGTTATTTTAATTAATTTTTATAAGTCATTATTTTTCTCGTCTCCGAAACCTGAACCCAAACCGGGTTCATGGATTTTTCACTGAACCCAAACCCGATCCCATTTTTTTAGAAGGAGGGTTCACAGCCCTGATTTTTTTATTATTATTAATTTATAAAAAAAATAATTAAAAATTAAATTTAAATACAAAATTTAAATTTAATATATGAAAGAAAAAAAAAGTTAAACTAAATTAATTTAAAATACTCAAAAAAGTGTATTTCGCTATGGTATATCTACTTTTCAAAATACCTCAAAATATGTGCCTTAAGATACAAGCTTAGTTTAACCCCTCATTCACCACAGTTAACGCGAATTCGTGGTAAATCGATTTTGTAAAATATATTTTGCGACTGGCTAACTCTTATTTCGTATTCTAAATTACAAATACAAACGAAAAATCAGAAATTTGCCTTATTATGAAAATTGAATATAATAAAATTTAAATAATGGATAAAAAATAATAAAATAATAGAAAACAATTATTTTGTATTTAACAAAAAAAATAATTTTTTTTTTAAATTAAGGATCGGATATTAAATTTTTTTAAAAATAAAATAAATTAATAAGCTGATATGTTCCAATTTTTCTTTTTATAACAAAGGAAAATAAAACATTTTTATCAGATAGAAACCAAACCATTAAAAGGATTAAAAAAAAACTTTTCGATACAAACAAATAACTATAGTTATAATTCAATATCGATTTTAAAATGTTTGAGAATAGATATTTTATTAATACGTACATTCGATGAAAATGAATTCTATATTTCTAACCCCAATAACACTCAAAACTTCATCAAATTTACTAAACGGAAACTGTATGCCATAAATTACTCTAAAAAATTGAAGAAATCTCATAAGACATAACATAGAAAATTGGTTTATATAATGTGATTTTATATTTCAATGAATCTATATATATTTTAGCATCAATGTGTTATTCTCCGGCAATGTGTTATTTTTTCAACTTTAAATCATTTTTTGAGCACATTTTTTTATATTTAAAAATTTAATTTTATCGAAAATGTATTCTTTCATGTATGGAATACCTATCCTATAAATATCAGACAAATTCGCTATGAACTTTTGAACTTAACATAATTTATATAATTTTCCATAGATTTTTTATACGTATATAAAATACATTATGCCAAGCAAATAAAAGAGTTATCAACGGTTTTACTTTGCAAAAAAATATTGAGGCAGGGTTTGTAGCTAGCTAAGCAACAACGAGTAACGGGAAAGTTACTGCTTGCTAACTTTTAAACAATATGATTTCTTAAATTTTTATAAATTTAAATATTAAAACCAGTTTTCACATGTTGTGGTGAAATCCTATAGCTTACAGCCAGATAATCCTTTAGGTATCACTAGCGTAACCGAGGGGGCGGGGGGGGGGGGTGTAAGAAAGCCCCCTGAAAATTTTGAAATTTTTTTATACTCAAAAAACAAGGTTACTTTAAAAATGATGCTAAAAATAGGCCATTTTAAAAATAATTAGAAAAGATTATTTAAGCCCCATAAAATTGTAAAGGCTAGTGACGCTCCTGTTATGCATGCTATAACTCTCTTCTGTTTAGGCCTTAGTAGAATTGTCAAAGAAAAGTCAATTATAGCTTATTTACGGGTTACCAATCAGGACTTATTGGTGGACACCATATTTAAACAGACATTGCAATTAATGATTCAAAAATATTGAGAAATTTCGTAACTATAGCTAAACTTAGATGAAACTGAATATTGTCGGGCACAATTTATTATTATTTATTAAAGAATTTAGTCCAAAAATCGATAAATCATTTATATTCCTCAGTCGATGACGACAATCCCGTTTTAAGCTTAGTTAACAATACATTAGAACAAATCACTAAAATAAGAATTCTTGTGCCTGCTTATAAATCATTTTCTTCTTAATTATATTTAACATCCCAAATCCTACATACGCTATGTTCCCCAACTACCTTTAAATCGATTTGTGTATATTATATACTTAGAAAGAAATGTTTAATATCTCACATAACAATTCGAAACCATGAACTTAATGATAGATTCTATATGCAATCAAACCTAGAGCCAATAGGACAGAATTAGCTTATATTTTCTAACAGTCCTCTTAATAAGTTCTTTCCTATTTTCAAGAAGTCTGTAAATTAATTTTGAAAGCTAGACCCCGTCAATAATAAAAAAAGCAAACTTAAAGAGAATTTAATATACCTGATTTACTCATCTGAACAAAGGTAAAAGAATTCATTTACTTGAAACAATTCTATCAAAAGCCTTAATTAAAACGAGGAACTTAAGCACGCCATAACTATAGCAACAAATTTCAACATTTTAAGTTGCTTAAATTGTTATAAATGTCTAAAGCATCGAAAAATAAAAAAATTATAAGGAACATGTATTTATCAAAAACAAAGTTTATAGTGTCACTTATGATGCTTGTTAGATAGGACTTCTAAGTTCTAACTAAAATATTCAATTATCTATTGTAAATCATTTCGCAAAACGGTCGTCAATTTACTTAGTATGAGTCAGGCCTAAGGCGTGAAAACATAACTTTTATTTTGTTTTTAAACTCTTGTTTTATGGCTGGTGAAACGTACCAGGCAAAATATATTGACTCAAAAAATGTGTTTAGTGTTTCTATATTTTTCATTCTGGCATATTGCTAATTTTTTAAATTTTTTTACACATTTAAATTTATTAGAAACGAAACATTTTTAAAGTTTCTAAATATTACTAGCAGGGGTTTTTTTAAAGCTTGTTTATCAAAATTTTGGTTTTTGTTAATAATTATTTTTTGTATAAACCGCATTCCCTATAAAACCTATAGCAGAACTAGATGATACGTTAAAATCAGCCAGATAACTTAGATTTAAGAGCAGTGCAAAGAAGTTAAAAGACTATGTTTATTTTTAGCCATAGGACTGATTTCAAGTTTAGATAAGGGTTAGTATACCATAAAGTGTGTGTTAATGCAAGATCTTCATTAAAAATAGAATAAAGGGGGATAAGGTAAATAGAGAGGTAAAGAGGGCTAAGGATTTTTTTGCTAATTTTGATTTGGGTGTAATTATTTACTTAATTTGATTGGATTTTTTAAATTTTATCTCTTAATTTTTTTTTTTAAACTTAGGGAGGGAGGAGGTAAGATTTAATGAGGAAGAAGGTAATAACGTCAGCTTACGGGAAAGGGGGTGACATCGCCAGAATTTATCCGAGAAGGGGGGGGGGGGGTTCACGAAATATTATTTATTTGGTGCTTCACCGGTGTGAAGATGTATTTTTATATCTGATTTCTTACCTATGGTCATCTTTTGAAAACCGGTTGGGCATATCCTGCCAAAAAACCGTTGTTTGCCCAAAAATTATAATAATTACCCTCTAGTTTTTGTGGTTTTAGCAAAATTTATTAAGACACAGAATTTTTAATTTTGTTTCCTTAAAGCCATAGCTATGAAATAACCACATATTTTAAAAGATGATAGGATATTTTGTAATAATAATAATTTATTTTAGATTTTGTTTATTTAATTTTTTATTATCTTGTTTTATGAGATTTTATTTACTTCTATATTTATTAAACAAACTGAAAAATAATAACATCTATGACGATCATAGAATCACGAGAATCAAAAATATCTTGAATGAGAGAAAGAGAAACCATATTGTATTCAAGCCAAATTGATTTTTGATAATTTAATCCTATATTTAAGATTCAGTCTAAGACTAATTATTACTGAAAAAAACTGATCGATGAACTAGTATGTGTTGATCATCTAATAGATATTGTTCATTGCTTTTATCATTTTCCATCTAGGATAATCCCAATATTGACGATTTTTTTCATTTAGCAAAATGTTTTTCACTAATCGGGTTGAGGCAGTAAAGAAGTATGAAATAGACCATAATTGTTGACATAAATTTCCGAGATAATCCTTCCAGATGTTTGGTTAACTTTACACTTAAGACATGATATATAATTAGTCAATGGTTTATAATTCGGTTATATTTGGCTGGTGAAATTGATTAATAAATTAGTAAGACATTAAATATTAGCGCTTACCAGATAGTTAGAATTTCTATATTCTCCGTTTTGCCATGATGTTAATTTTGACAATTTTTATTTTTTTTACCGATAATTCTTTGCCTCTGTAAACCAACTAGCAAAAAAAAGAGCAATAATAATGTTTACTTAATAATTAAGTTAAGTTCCAGAATTAGCGCTTCCAAAAACTTGGTTCATTTCATGATTGGAGCCTGACGTCATATTTTTCATTTTGTTTATAACTCAGTTTCTTTTCGTAGTTTTCATATTTGAATTGAAAATACAAGCGCAATAAATTTAAGCCCGCACTAGATATATAGTTTATTATTTTAGCACGATATCCATTTTAGTAATTTTCTTTATATTTTATATTGCTAATATTCGTATTAGATTAATATAAAATTATAATCTAAACATTGATAAAATTTTTGGAATAAATGCCTTCAGTCACTTTTTAATCTTAAAGTTGGCCAAAATTTTGTTAATAATAATTTTTTCCTTTATACTGGTATACTTGTTAAAGTCAAACAATAATAAAGCACAAAACATTACCATATTTTAGAATTAAGGCTTTTTCAGTCAACGTTAATGGAGATTATGTAAAGACAACAGAAAAATCAATAATATTAAAATTTATATATATTTTATTTGAAGCTTTGACAGCTTTCATAAAAATATATCATTATATTTTAGAGCAAACTATTACTATGTTTATAAATTTCTTTCATTTACATATCGGCAAACCTTTTTGAAATTTTATGATGAAAATCTTCATTTGTTCTATTAATATTCTATTCTACAATTCATAAATGAACATGGATCAACAAAATTTAATATGTGATGGTAGTTGGGAAATCGTTATTACCATCACAGATCTAGATATAACAGAAAATTTAAGAGTAAAAGGAGAGCTTAGAATAGGTTCTATCATGCTGATGCTCGTTGACAAAATATGTAAGAGCATAATTTTTTTATAATACATAGGATTTTTTGAATAATATACCTTTTGAAATAATCAATTGAATAAAATTTTATATAACAAATTATATAATTAAAAAAATACAGTTAATAATTAAAATAATCTTAATATATATTTTCTATATTAATATAAGATGCCATGTTAAGATACATAAATGTTTCATACTAGAAAATCTTGCTTGAATTGAATGGGAAGGGGCGTGAATTGCATATTTTCATTTTTTTAGAATTGTCTTTCCCCAAAATTCCACCTCCCCCCTCTTCTACACCCATAGTTATGATTCTGAATATATAATATCATTTACTTAATTAATCACCTAGGGTTACAATAATGTTATATTTATTAAATATTAAATAATAACTAAAGGGCCTATACGTAGGACAATTTTCTTTATGATTAAAAAATTCAAAACTAAAATATTTATGGTTTAAAATATTCTTCTAAACCAAAATGCATTGGTATCAATACTCAGTATTGGGCTAAAATTTATGCATTGGTATCATTTGTAATTTCTAATACTTTCAATTTTATCTAATACTTCAAAATAAACTGAATTTATATTCATAAAATTTGCCTACGTTAGATGGCTCAATTTATTAAAAATAGCTAAATCAAGATTTTCACCAAAATATTACCTCATCCCCAATAGATGCCCAAACCTTTTTTTATCTGTTAGAAAAATCTCCTAGATTAAATAATATTACTTTAGATTAAAATATTGAGTTAACCTATTTTAAAAATGAAACACTGCTCTTATTTTCTTCAAAACCATTAATTATGAAAAAAAATATTTCCTATTTCTTTTTACCATTAATCAACTTTTATAATGAATTGATAAATAAATTTAAAAAAATTATATATTTTTGCATTTTTTTCCAAAATACTATGTCTTATCTATTTACATTTTTAGTTATTATATCTATATATAGATACATTTTTATAGATTGTATTTAACAATCAAAACAGCAGCATGAGATTTTTCAAATTTTATTGGACTAGTTCAAACATAATGATTAATTAATAAACTGAAAGTTTCCAAATGATATTAAATTCAAAAAAAAAATTAAAAGTTATAAAATTAAATTTCCTTTACATCCTGAAGAGGATATGGACACAAATTTTAACTCTCAAATTTAGACTATTGTTCTAAAAATGAATGTAATGGTTTTACCATAATGTATCTTAATGAGATATGATATAATAATAACTGTATTTTGGTACATTTAAAAGGTATCTTTAAATAACTGCCATTTTCAATGGCAAATTTTTTTCGAACATATCAGATTGTGTTAAAGCAGACACATATCCTAAAAAAATTTAATATGTTTTCATGAATTGTGAATTGCAAAGTATTTAGCACAATTAAAATTACAAGTGTCAAAATAATATACATCTTAAATTAGGTTAAAAATTATACTATGTGACTGTTTAATAGTCATATGTAAAAAGAAACACATTTAGGAATATAATTAAACATTGTGATTCGGCATTACATAACAAACATTTAATTTACTCTTTGCTTCACTCAATTCATCTTTATAAAATAAATGGAAATTTTAATAAGAGAGTTAAAAGGATAGTTGAAAATAAATAGAGCTAAAGTTTAATTAATCAAAATATATTTTAACTACCCCTAGAGAAAATCAGATTGGTTTAATACCACTTTTTGGACAACAATCTGATCCGATATTACTGATATTAATCCAATATTTTATCTGATTTTGTATTCTGTAACAACTATCGTTTTAATTTTTATTGCATACTTCTAGTATTGCAAAATCTTTCCATTTGAGTCGATTTTTTAAAAAGGCTAACTCACCATTCAAGAAAAATATTATGCCCTGAAGATTTTGCTCATAGCTAGCACAAAGCTTTGAACTGCAGTGTAGGCAATATTTTTTTAGTTAAAATATTGAGTTAGTCGTTTTTAAAAATTGGGTCAAATGGAGCGATTTTGCTCACTACTTATATCTACTTAACTTATATACTCTTTAATAATATAACATCCATAATTTAACTATTCCATAACATAAGTTTAAGTAGTCATATAAATATATTATAATGATCAGTTATAGTTTATATTTATGAATCTAAAAGTATAAAAAAAATTTTCATTGATATTATCACCTATTTATATAATAACATTAATCTATTTACATAATAAGTAACAAACAAATATATTATGAAATTATAAGTTTTTAATAATTAAACCATTTATCTGATCGGGAAATTTTATATTGGCTTATAACCGATATTTTAAAAGGATAATATCGGCCTGATCCGATAAAAAATATCGGTATATCCCTAGTTTAAACCAGATTTTTTTTTCATCTAAAGCAGATACATTATTAGATTCAATACGACAGCATTGGAATGTATTAATAAATTATCTAATTACACAACAATTTTTTGCATATTTTCCAAAAAAAAAATGTTATGGGTTTGGCTGAAATAAGAATTGAATTATATTATGAATTTCACTAGATTTATGTGATTGAAATTATATGATTTTGAGATTCGCAAGCCTCGACTTTCACCTAGACAAACAAATCGTTCAAAATTAAATTGATGACTACAAAATAATCGTTTTCATTCCATTTTTGGATTCATTTTTCACTCAAATCAATGAACAATGAACGATTTGTGATTCATCAAATGGCTCCATACAAATACTATAAACTCCCTCTGATCTGAGGATATATTAAATCTTGATATTAAAAAAAAATTAAATATTTGGCTAAATTTTATTTAGAGGATATAAATTATCTGAAGGCCCAATTAATTTCAGAATTTAAATCTTGGGGTTGAAGATTAATTTTAGTAGTTGATCCTCCAAGAAACGCAGTGGAAGCATTGCATACTTTAAAATATATTTTGTAGTTTTTCCAAATATATTTAAATTTCTGTATATTTCGGCAACGATACCAATTTGTACAAGCACAAATGAGGGGACCTTTTGTTCGTTACAGAGAATATAAACCTATCTCAAAAGCGCATGTTAAAATCGATTGAATGGACTAGCCTTACTTAATATACATCGAGATCTAATCTCCAACACAAAACAAATTATTGAAAAATTGACGCAATCGAAAAGAAGATTAAATTTTCATTTATTGAACGATAAAATCATCTTATAATTAATGTATTATTCTATATTTTACTGCGATTTATATATCGGTTTAATAGCTATAATTCTTTAATACCACTCGTTAATATTTTATATTTTCCAAATTTTTATTATTTAAGTATGATCAGTTCAAAAAATTTTATCTTATGAGAATTAGTTTTAAAAAATTTTACAAAAAAAATTATTTCAATATTTAAAAAAAAAACTCTCCCTCTCCCCCTTTATAAGATTACTGACTACTCGCCTGTATCGAAGTCAAACAATGATTCGCTCACCTTGTAAATTGAGTACCAGACCCAAATCAGAAACATTTAGTAAAAATGTTCACTTCCATTCATAAGCGTTTCAACTTTTTTTTGATAAAGTGTACCTTAAAATATAAATTATTTATAAATTTTTACCCACACGAGATTGCCTTATATATAGTTTAAACTCTGATATCTCATGATTTGCGATCCATCGCAATGTTTACTCACCACTATTTGTCATTTCGAATTCCGCGCCATTTGTGATCTCCAAACTACACTCCCCCCCCCCGATCTTTTAGCCCAATGGTCATTTAGGGTTAGAGTGTTTAAAAAAATTTCTCTTATTGATTTTTTTTCAATAACAATTGCAACAATTTTCTAATCGTGCGTTTTTTTTCTTTGAAATTGTTATGTAACATCTTATCAAATCACAGCTGCAATTATTGAAACAAAACGTTCTTTTTTTATATAATTTATCGAAAATATTATTATTTTCTTAAATGGAGATTTTTTTTTTAATATATGAAGGGAAATTTTATATTGATAATTTAAATATTAAAATTTGAAACAAAGGAAGTATAAAGTGATAGACTAATTAATATTATTCGCAATTGTCGCGGATTGTATAATATAGACATCGAATATTTTGCATCCGCACCTGAAATATAAAAGTTATTTTAACTCTGCTACCCCCCCCCCCCTTTTCTTTTATTACTAAAAAAATTAAATTTAAATAATATAATATATTTATAAAATATCGCAAAATTTATTATATTCCTGTTTCTCCAATCTCCAACCATTGCATTTGCAATATATTCTATATATTTTTTTTAAAAAAAAACCTTTTATAAACTAGAATGCATGTACCATATGTTTTACGAAAATAAATAATGTTAGTAATGTGAATGTGATGTAGCTTATTTTTTTTTTTAATATAATATTTAAACATTTTTTTACTTTTAATTAACTTATTCATATTCCTCCCTAAACATTTTGTAATTATCATCGATTTGTTAAATATAAGAATTAATCATCTATTTTAATTTAAAAATCATTCTTTTCCTTTGCCTTGAAAATGTTCCGGTTTGCAAAATCTAGCTTTTTGAATGGATTGAACTTTTAAATAATTTATTTCGAAAATCTAAAGGACATGAGATCTATTTTTATTTACTTTTTTCTTTATTGCACGGCCCGGCAGTAAAATTTTTTTTATTTGGTTCGGCCTAGGGAATATAAAAATTTTTCGATAAAATGATTTTGAAATGTTATAGGAAATAAGAGAAGTCAATAAATGTTGTGATATATTTATCATTTAATATACAACAATTTTCAAGTTTACTTTACTATTTATTTTATTTGTATAATAACCTTTTAAATATTCGGCCCTATTTCTAGGCCCGTCTCGGATTATTAAAAAAATTTACGGCTCTACCCGTGTACCCGGTTTTGGGCCGGGACTGCATGTCTGTTTTTTTTTCAGTCAAGAAAGAATATGGCGACAATCGATTTGTTAAAACACTTTTTTTGATATAAAAATTATTTCTTCAATGTCCACTCAAGGCTGTGTCCAAAAATACCAAAATATTCGATTTGCTAACTTTTGAAATTATAAGTATAAAAATCAAAACATGTCCTAATTCTAGAAAATTTCAAAAATGTTTTAAAACTTTCCGAATTCATTAAAGGATTTTGGACATAAGCCTAAAACCCCTTTCCTATTTCTTGATCTTAAGTTTTTGTTATTTTATAAATATATCAATTTTTTTACGTGGTTAAGGATTCTTATGGTTTACATTTTTATACATTTTTTCAAAAGCCATTCCTAGAGATTGGTCTGATTACGCCCTATGGTGGCCCCAGAAAAACACATGGTTGCTTCGGACCAAAAATACGCTAGATCAATACGGGGTTCAAGCTAACGCCCATATCCAATTTACCCCTATTCATAAATTTCTCAGGATTCAAACGCCGGATTTCAAATCGCAAACTATGTCCATTAATTTTTCCATTCCCACCTATTCCGTCGTTACCCACGTGTGCAAGGATCTCGGTTATAACCTAAAAATTTATTGTTTATACCCAATCTATTTAACCAATGGGGTGGAAGAATTCACTAACCTAAACACTTCTGCCTTATTATATTAGTTATCGGGCTCCGCTAAATGGGGGCCAACCTTATAATTAATTTTAAAAAAGCGATTAATTGGCATGCTAGATTACCTTCAATCGGTTGGAAAAATTTATAAATTATTTTCATCAACTCATTCAGAGGTTGCACGAATGTTCCATCCAAAAAATTAAGTTATTTTCTAGGAAAAGGAAGGCTCGCGAATTAAAATCGCTCAAGAAAAATAAGAAACATTTTGTTGCAGGGGCGTGTCGCTACCTAATAGCTTTGAGTGCTAAAGCAACCCCCCCCCCCACTTTCCCTTTATTTTTAAATACAATGTCGCAAGCTGTTGGCCATATTGATTTTTGTTTTATTAAAACACTTAATTTAAAGATTTGAATGAGAATTGAAGTGAGTCCACTTATCCCTTAAATTGATTTTTTTGATTTTCAAAATAATAAATATGATATAATAATAATTATATTAAATTCAATATAAAATGGATATATTAGATTTTATTTTAATTTTCATTCAATATTTTTTATTACAAAAGGAAAAATAAAACTAATATAATTATCGATTTCCATAACTAATTTTTATGTTTTTGCGTTTCCGTTAGTTTTTTTTTGTAACGATTTATGAAAAATAAATTTTTTTTAAAAAAACTTTTATCTAATAAAAAGCATCTTTTTTTTTACAATTCATTAGTCATTACTTTTTATTTTAATGAATTATTTTTATTTATAATGTTGTCTCCATTAAAATTAAAAAAAAATAATAATAAAATAAAACGCACAAAACTAAATTAATGAAGTGGGACGATGACGCGATTGATCCTTACGATATTTTTATTTACTCTTTTTTATCACCTTAAAAAACGCGTGCGATAAATAAATTAACTTATTGAATCTCGGACAGAAATGTTGTAGAACATACTAGAACATAATGAACCTCGGACCAAAAGGCACTATACGAAAATTTCTTATGAAAAAGAAATTTGAACGCTTAATAAGGGGAGATTAACTTTTAACCCCATTTTTTACCGCAGAATTTTATTTCTCTGACGAGTATATTGAAAAGATTCATTGATTTATTAATCTTCAATATTATTTTGCCCTTTTAAATAACCGTGATACGAAGAGTAGTTTATACATCACATCATGAAAATAGAATATATATGGTATAAATTGGAATGAACTGAGATTAAGCACTTTATTATTGGCAAGAAACAAGAGGGTGGATCATTTTTAAATAAAAAATATTTTGCATCCTAGCCCCCCCCCCACTTTCATCGAACTCAATGGCAATGTCTTAGTTGAAATCGCGTTTTTAGGCGTTTTGATTTTTTTTATAATTGGGGTGTTTTTGTCCGTAGGTATTTTTATCGAGGTCATTTTCCGTGATTCCGATTTAAGGATCAAAGCTAGGTATAAAGGACCCGAACGCCTATAACTAGAACTTCCATGAAATTTAGTAGTAATTTAAAGATGACGTCTTTGACTCAACCCAAGTCACCGAAGGATTATAAACTAGTGTTGATCCATTCCTTAAATCTTATTTATTTTTTTCCCCCCACTTTACCTTAAATTTGCGGTGTTAAGGAATTTTTAAATTTATTCGTTTTACCATTTCTTGCTTTATATTATTTACGTTTTAAAAATTAGTCGCGAATTTATTTTTTTTAGCCAGGTACTTTACCGACTTGCAAACATTCTTCATATTATTATTTTTCTTCACGCTTTTCATAATTTTTTTTTCTTTAACACGAATGAATTAATTAGTATAATATAACTAATAATCGTTATAATATTTATATGTTAAGATAAGAAATAAAAAGGAGTTGAACAAATAAAATTACATTCTTTACAAATGAATCGTTAAACTAATAATCATATTGATATCTTTGGTCATTTTTTTAGAGCAATGCGAGATTACCATTTAGCTTCGCGAACTTTATTTTCCCAAACCTATGGTGGATCATGTAATGGTGGAAAAAAATAAAAATAAATAACCTATATGGTTTCTAAAAATTGATCCTTGGTATCGAAAAGATAGAACGTCACGTGGAAATAGATGATTGACCGAATTGGGGGGAGGGGGTTCATTCCTTCAAATATTTAGGGACTCTTAAATGAAGGAGTTATGGTTGAAATCCAATTGGGGAAAGAATATAAGATCCCCAGCAGTGATTAGTCCGACTTTATTGTATGGAGCTGAATGCTGGGTTGCGCGAAAAATTAGAATATAATTTAAGCAGCTGTAATTAGAGCCATGCATAATGAATGTTTCAAACCCGAACCCGAATTTAAGAAAAAAATTCGTGTCCGAATCCTACCGAGCACAAATTTTTGTGTCAGTCCGATCGTGCAGGGCTCTAAAGGTATTGAAAATGAGGTTGCTCAGATCCTGGATAAATCTAAGAGCAAGCATGCGAGGAATGGAAAATTTATAAGGAAAGATTGATTATCTCTAATTTTTTAAGCTAAGATGAAGAAAAAGTAGGTTTGTTTCATAGGGGAAAGATAGGATATACTGGATAAAGAAAGTAGCGGGATAGGAAATTGATAAGTTGAAACAGGACGACCAAATAAAATAAAAAATTGAAGAATGTAATTTATCTGAGACTTCGAACTAAACCACCTGGGCTGGTGGAATTGATGATGCCGAAAGGATTGTTATTATCAGTGACGGCTAAAAAAAGGTTTTTGGTCAAATAGAAAAATATTGTAGGCGCATGCGTCTTTTTAAAAAAAAACGGCAAGTTTTTGGTATATAAGAGGATAATTATGTACTGAGCCTTGCATCCTACACCCGAAAATTGTTGTCCGACCAATTAGGGTCGATCTTTATAAAAACGTAAATTTCGTGAAAAAATAATTGAAAATGAAATGATAAAATATTTCATAACTAAATTTTAAATTACAAGGTTTCTGAGGAGCTTTTTTTTAAAAAAATAATATTTTCGAGATCAATTTTTATTTCATTTATTAGGAGTACTTTTTAATGATTCTTTGATAAGAGATTTTATAGTTTTTTGGTGTTATATATATGTGATTGAACTTTGATTATAAACCTTACGCAATAATGTTTTACTTGTACAATTGAAATTGAATATGACATAATATGAGTATGCAAATGCACTTATATATAAGGCAAATAAGTTTGTGTGTTTTTTTTGAAAAAAATTTCTTATTTCAAAAATATTTAGGAATGAATTATAAATGATTATTGTTTTGCCAAATAAAATTTTTTTTAAAAAATGTTATATAGGGCCTGGAGATAGGGAGGAGGAAAAAAAATATTTTACCTTTAAATTTAGAATTTTTTAACATCTTTATATAGCCTATTAAATATTGTGAATTGCATTACGCATTCGTAATTATCCATAAATGCAGAGTTTGATTTAGGTCAAATCCAAAATATCAAAAAACACGATTCTCAAACTTTTGAAACTTTATAAACTTTTTTAAAAATATAAACATGTCCAAAATATAATTCTAGAAATTCCAAAAATTTAACATAGATTTCATTAAATAAAATTGGGAGATCTGTCAACGTCGATTTCGTCACGATTCGTGACCATCATTTCATATCATATATATTTTTTGAAAATCTGTAAAATAGATTGGAATCGAGTTTTTTTAGCTTTGTATTATTAAAACAATTTCAATTTGATAATAGGTCTGAGATATCCCGAGGAATGTTCCCTTAGTCGCGCTTACGACAAACGATACGTTAGGACCGGCAAAGCCCGGTCCGGTAATACATCCCGTTCTAGCTTAGGTTCGACATCTATGTCCAAAAAGAAGACGAACGCCACAGACGGGGCCGATAAATCCTTCGATTCGAATTCCGATCGACCCGAATCTCTTTACTACAATTACGGCACACTTTCAACCTCCTACGGACAAAGCTTGGATAGGAAACAGCAAGAAAGCCACCACACTAGAAGCAACGACCATAATGCCACGAATAATGGGATCACTGGTGGGAAAATGTTTTACACGCCCGAGCACAGGGTTACCATGCCCGTTAATGGATTAAGACATTGCCGACAACAAAACGGAACGGTATACGTTGTTTATATATCGTTTTAAAACTAGGAATTGAATACATAAAAATAGTAAGATTCAGTTCAGATGAGACTTGCCAACTGTTTTTATTTTTAAAGTTAAACTAACCTTTATAACTGAATCGGGTTAAACCCGTTGTAAAGTAAAATTTATTTTCCTTTCCTTTTGGTTTTACAAATGGGTTCTGTATATTTAAAAATCCTGGAGGAAAAGCAGTAAGTAATAAGGAAAAGTCTGAATGGAACCAGGCACCGATACATATTTATTGAAAAAGGCAAAGTATATATAAATCATCAATATTATCATTATTTATTCGTCTATCATCTGGAGCGCTTGTATGAATTGACAAAAAGTATTTTTTACAATGTGATAGGGTATTCAAAAAAATTTTCCTATATGTCATTTTGTTTTCCCATATTTTGCATCATTTCGCATATTTTTTAAAAATTTTGTTAATGCGTTTTTTGGGCTTCGTGATTTATGCCCATTTTGCTTGCTTTTATCATGCATTGCATTATTTAATGCTTTGGGGTCATTTCACTGCCTTTTGCACATTTTGTGTCTCCTTTGCATATTTTTCATCTTTTTGCTAGCATTTTGTGCTTTTATTTTACAGCTTTTCTGTCATTTTGCTCGGTTCAGGAATAATATTTTGTACAGTTTAAAATATGCGGTTTTGCCTGTTTTTATGCAATTTTGCAAGGTTTAATATAAAATTTTTGCATAGTTTCTAATTTGGTATAGTAATGCCGTATCTAAAACAAACTGTGAATACAACTTCTAAATTATGAACTACTATCCTAAAAATAAATTTAATTATAGAACTGAAATATGATAAATTTACATTAAATGCTAGTTGCTATCTCTTGATTTTTCTGAAGATATTGAAATAATTTCGGAAGAAATTTATCATTGTTTATGAATTGATTGTGATGGATACCTTAAAATGCATACGCTACACATCTTTTCAAAGTGTTAAAACTTGTTTCTATTTTAGGTATAATAAGTAGTGATGAGACAATTAGTGCTAATTTTATTGATTTCGAATATTATCTTATATTAACTTGAAAATTTTGATTTCATTGAAATTTTAGATTGAAGCTGTTTATTTTCTCCCTCTTTCTCACATTTTCCTGGATAATTGGCTGTATTATAAATATCAAGATAATTTTTAGTAACATTTTAAAAATCTCGTCCTGTGACATCCTTAAAGTTTATTATATTTTTCGCAGGCTAGTGAATTCTAGTGATTCAATTAAACTTTACTTTCGTGTAAACTAAAAAAATCTTTAAAAAATACTATAGGAAAATCTAAATAAGGTCTTTAAATTTGAGTTTCTACTAGTGATCTACATCAGGCCTAATTTTTCTTTGTTGGCCCGGCCCGAACCCGAAATATTTTTTAAAAAAATTTGCTACCACGACCCTGCCCTTATTTATCTAAATATAGAAATTCATTTTTATAATTACTCAAGATAAAAGATATATGTTAAATGGCGTCTGGTTTCTATAAAATAAAATCAAATATTTTTATTTTACATAAAAAATTCAACATAAAATTGATAAATTTAGATATATTCAACAAAAATTCAAGACCCGACCCGGCCCTAATTTTTTTTAAATATATTAGGCCCGGCCCAGCTAAAACCCGATTTTTAAAAAAAAAATAGGCCCGTACTCGGCCCGGCCCCTACTTTTGCAGATCTCTAGTTTCTACCTAAGGCTCGAGATCTTCCCAAAATATGGCAGACGATTTTAACCCTCTTTTGACGAAATCTCAGGGATTGGTAATATTTGTTTGATTAAACCCTTATTTAGTCAATCTAAGTTTTTAACAACACTAAGTATTGATGCATCTATGGAAGGCAGGGACGCATCACCAAGGCTATTTATAAATTATATGCATATTTCGTATTTTAGAAAGAAAGAAAAAAAAAGGTTTAATAAACCATTTAAAAATCTATTATACGAAATATAAATTATCATTTAATTTTTTTTTTGCCATTATTTACCATTATATATGTATATATACTCTTTTGTATATATTATTATTATATAGTATATGATTTAAATGTTTAAATTTAATGCATAAATTAAAATTTAGTCATTAAAATTTATTACCCGTGTCGAAATCGCCGATAAAATAAATTAAATCGAATATACATTTTTTTTGGTTGTATTTTTTTTCTCAAAAGGTAAATATCCAATTTAAAAAAAAAATTAAAATTTTTAGGAATATCATAATCATATTTTTATAGTTTTTAATTAATTTTTTATCTTAAACCCCATCATGGCGCCTCGGGCATAATTCAGTATAAATTTAAAGAATGCATGAGTTCAATTAACCAATTACTTCATTCGCTATTTATAGAAAAATTGAGACTGTTTTTTTGAGAGTCGTTTCTAAGATCCCTGCGCTGGTTGTGGGTTCGGAAAATTAAATATTAGAAATATCCACAAGGATCATTTTTTTGTTCCATCTAAATATCTATGAATCACGTGTCATTTTTTTATCTAACATAAGTCACTTATTCATTTACGCGATTTCCATTTCCCAAAATTAACAATTTCCAGTGATTGTAATTTATATTTTGAGTGGCTTAAGACTCTATTACTTACATCAGGTTAAATTAAATATGTTTAATATTCTACATTTCGTTTTGTTTTTTTCTTCTAAGATCTTTCCAAAATAAGCTTCAGATTTTTATATATATAAAAATCCAAATTTAAAAGATAATTTCTGAAAATATTTGAGCTTATGAATTCGAGACCCAAAGAAAATACAAATGGAAAATAGTACGGAAGAAATTCCTACTTTATATCTAATAAACAGGGTGAAAAATTATAGTTTTTTTAAAATCGGGTTGGAACAAAAAATTGGTACTCTCACTTTGCAGGGCTCTGAGCGTTTCGGACTTACTAAAGTTATGCGCATAGAAACCCAACAGTTTTAGCCTCCTATCTTTTAACATTGCAATTATCCTTAGACAGCTTTAAATGTAACATAAAAAATCATGCCAGGACGAGCTCTTAAAGTGTGTAAAAAAAATAACGAATGTTTTTTTTACAACTGAGCCAGGACTAAAATATGCAACAATTCGAAATAATTATTTTCAACGAGGAAAGTAGAAATTACGAGAAAACGAATGAATGAATGTCAATTTTTTTTAACTCGAGTCAAATATTTTATTTATTATTTATTGAATTTATAAATTTTAAAATTCTTTGTATAATTTGAAATTATTCTTAAATATTCGAAATAACTCATATGATAAAGTAAAATATAAAGTAATTGTAATGTATAATTTCAATGAAAAATTAAAAGTTCAAAATACTTATATACATTTTCTTTATCTCGGTAATTAATTTGTTTTATTTAGTTAATTAATTAATTGTTTTATTATTATTATTAGGTATACATAGAAGAAATAATTATCTTAATAATTATAATAAAATAATGTAAATAAATTAAATATGGAATATATTATAATATGAATTTGAATGTTGCATACATAATTCTAATTGTACGGCTTTGACTTATTCTACTATGTATGTTATATTATATATATAAAAAATACATTTTATTTTAGTTTTACATTTCATATCCAATATTGGAGTGTTTTTTTAAAAAAAAATTATTTTATTATTATAAAAAAAAATATTTACCTTGACTTGAATAAAATTAGGCGTAAATTATTTAACGATGATAATAAATAAATAATACTTATACAAATTTAATAGGATTATTGATCATCTCACCTATATATATATATTTTTTAACAATCTTCATAAACATGAGCAAATCCATATTTTATTTTTGTGTAATTTTTTAATTTAAAAATACTCGATTTTTAAAAGGGATCCGAACCGAATTTAACCGGTATTAACCATTATTCTTTACCGAACCTGAACTTTAAAAATTTTGTCGCCCGAACCTGAACCCGAACCTATAAAAAGGTATGTGAACCGGTTTGAACTTCTTGATAAACCAACTCTTTTAAAGTTATTAATAATCGATTTTGATTGAATAGTGGGGCGTCACTAGCCTTTACAATCTTAGGAGGTTCAAATTTTTTTTCAAAATTACCCCTTTTTTTAGCTAACACTATCCAGATACCTTTTTTTAGTTAACATTATCTAAAATTTCCTTTTTTAGCGGTATTTTAAAAAAATCAAAATTTTTCAGGGCTTGAACCCCTGAGATAAGTATTTTCAGATATTTTTGTATATTACTATTTGACGATGCCAGGCCACATTTTTTTTTAGGAGTAAAATTTTTTTTCAGGGGGCCCATCAAATTTTAGTCCCTGCCCCCTTAGGGAAGTGTTCTCAGCCATAAAATTTATTCCTTCTCCTTATAAATATAATTTGGTAGGTTGTATGTGACTCAGTATTATTTTTTTTTAGAATAGGGACAAAATTTAAAAAATGAGGTTCAATTTACATATATCTAATAAGGTTTTATGGGAACAATTGTAAACCGGTTTTTCAAAGTTAAACCCTAACCGATATTATTATTTATTACGAACTGATCCGGAATCATAAACCATTATCTCTCTCTGAACTTAAACTTGACCGGACCTATATTCAATACGGTTTGAATCCCCTGTATTTTTAATATCTAACGTTCCTCTATTTATATCAGAGACCTGCAGAGGTACAATTTGCCCGGCCCGGATTCTTTTTCAAAAATTTTTGGTGGTCCGGCCCAGCTTTTTTTTAAAAAAAATTCAGGCTCGGCCCGGATTTTTTTTAAAAATATTATATGTTTATTTTTGATTTTTATAGCTAATAATGGCGATTTCAAATATTTGGTTTTAAAATATACGACCCGGCCCGGATTTTTTTAAAATATATTGTCGTCCCGGGTATATTTTAAAAAATTAAAATACTGCCCGGCCCTAAATCCGGGTCTGCAGGTCTGTGATTTATATTGACCAGATTTTATTATACATTTTAAACTATATCCTTGTTCATTATCATTTTAATAATTTTAAAGTGTTCTTATTTTATAACTAGAGAGAGTATTGATAAATTTAAATGTAAACTATGGGAAAACGAAAGAAGAAGAAAAAATGAATCGAAAATGTTATTTTACATTAGCTCAGATCATTAAAAATGGGAAGGTAGGGGAGGGGTATTTTAAAAATGAATGAATAATTATAAAATATTAACTATTATATAATAATGATTGATGGAGAAAACAGTTCTGAATTGTATATCTATTTACATTATGGGAAATTTTTACGTCTGTCTAATCATTCATTTAAAATATTCAAAGTTTTACCACACATTATAAATCAATCTAATAAGTTGTATTATTTTTGTCAAGTTAGGGTTCAATATTTGATTTTATAATATATAATTTAAAACAATAAAGAAAAATTGAAACTCTACACCCCCTCCCGCCAACTCCCTTTTCTCTTAATATGGCGTCCTTTGAGTGACATTTAGTGAAAGGTTTAACTAGTCGATTTCGAAAAAAAATATAGGTATCACTCTCATGTGTCGTCGACATATCTGATTGTGGTTGATGTTAAAAAAATCTAATAAAGTAATAATTGCGGATTTATTTATCAAATATTTATAAAAAAAAATTTTATGATATGGCCGCTAATTATATAAAACCAGTTCTTTTATTGGTTATCAGATGAAACGTAACAAATTTAAGAAACAGGGGATCAAATTAAAAGATGTAATTAAAAAAATTTTTGTGGCTTAATACATTATATTTTTATATAATGAAGAAAAAAAATTAGAATGTGAGAGATATTATGGTATATGTTTCAAAAATTTTAAAAATGTGGCAGTTAAGTGTGGTAGATATTAACTTTTTAAGAAAATAATGGTAGTTTAGAGGTCAATATGTTAGACCTGGCAAACCCTGGTCATCGATGTGTAATCAATAATTGACATTTCGATTAATTTTTTATAATAAAATCTCAAAAGTCCATTTTGGTTAAACTTAAGAAATTAGTTATTAATATTATATTTTTAAAAAAATTGTTTGTCGCGAGAATGCCCCCCCCCCTTAATAATTTTAGAAAAAATACGACATTTTATTTTAAATTTATTTTATACATGTAATATTTCTCAATTTAGACTCCGGATAAAAAAATCTCGCCTTATTACTCTTCTGACAGTGGACTAAATCGTCATTCGCCTCGCGATACCAAAATTTACGATTCCAGCAAAGATATACCGGAATCCGAATTTCATCTAATTAGACCCAAGAATTTTTACGAAAAAGCTAGGATAAATAATTCGTAATACACTTAATTAATAATATAAATTAGAGCAACTCTTGGATATATGGCTGGTTTAGAATACCAAATACTATTGTATTGGTATCGATATCAAATTATTATATTGGTTTGACAATATTTTCCCTATATCTTAATAGTTAATTATTGGAATAAATTGGTGTTGGTTTTGATTATATCTTATTATAGAAACTCTTAATTATGTTAAAATAAACATCATCACTTTCGAATTAATGTGTTTGTTCTTGTTCAAAAATATTTGGAACCGGCATTATTGACACTCTGATTTTTAATGTATTACCAGAGATACAGAAATATTATTATCACAGAAGCTAAATTTATATAATAATTGTAGATAAACGATCGAGACATTTAATCTTTTTAAAGTAATTTGCACCAATATATTTTGCGGTAAAAAACAAAAATATATTACTTTGTAAATTGGAATATAAGGAAGTATTTTTTTTGTGATATCCACGAAAAAAGCCAAAATTTCACTAAATAAATCTAAAAATATGAGATAAATATATAATTATGACTATTGGATTGATTTACTCAAACTATTGATAATGGCACTCAGGTGGTATTGGTTTCAAAAATTAATATAATATAATGTTTTATAGAAACCAGTTGTCTTAAGTTATACGCGAAAATTTGTATAAATCAAAATTTTGAAGCTCTATCTCGAATTAGGCTTTCAAAGTTCAACACAGGTGTGATCTCGGTTTTAAGGATCTCCAATTACTCGATACAATACTAACCTAATTGGGTTCATGATTTTAATCTGGCTTTAAATTCGTACCCAGCGTTGCCAAAAAAATAACGGCCTTCGAATTCCTTGTATTTAATTCCTGTGAACATTCATGCAATATACGTATCCTAGAGTTACTATTTAAAATACTGTAAATATTACGCTCTGGATTTTTCAGTAGCTTAATAAATTTTGGCTAAACCTATAATATGCAAATTTCAGTTTACTTAATTGACAAGTGCTTTATGAAATAGCACTGATTATTTTTTTATGATAATTTAAATGATAATTTGGGATTAAAAATGGTTTTAATTTATTAATTAATTGATAAAAAATTAATGAGTATTATAAAATTTTATATGAATCAATGACATAAATTGGACAAATAAACAACGGATAAAAATACCCTAATTTTTTGGGAAGAAAAATTTTAATGTTTAAAAGGAGGATTTATTTTAAAGCATTTAAAAGTATTTTCTAAAATTGGGGTATTTCTTTTCCATAACATTTTTGCTAAGGGAAAGTCCACCGCATGTAGGACCTCTAGGAAAATACCGCAAGAACCTCCAGGGAAATGTGATTCATTTTATATTGAACAATATTATATTATAACTCTTCCAAAATTTTTATTATTAGTTCAAATTTAAGTAATTTTCATCATATTAGATAGTCGATTTTTTTTTAAAGAAATATATTTTATAAATATCACGACAAAAAATAAATTACTACCGGAGACATAACAAGCATAAAAGTTGGGTCCGTAATTCATCCCGATAATGCTCACGCGTACAACAAATGTTCTTGAGAGTTAAAAACCAATTTCTCGGTTAAACTCAGTTGGGAATTTTTTTATATTTAATTTAATGTTGTTAAATGGCTCCATTTGAGCGGATTTTTTTAAAACGGCTAACTCATTTTAACTAAAAAATATTTACCTAAGCCTCGAGATTTAGCTAGAAGGTGTCCAAACTTTTGTGCCATCTATGAAAAAAATCTTTAAGCTGGCGTAATCTTTTTTTTTGGATAAAAAAATTGAGTTAGCCGTTTTTAAAAAATCAGCTCAAATCGAAGTCGTTAACAACACCTTAGTCTGAATCTAACATACAGTTTTTTCCAAGTGAAAAAAATAAAATAGCTGATTAAAAATATTATTTTTAAAAAAAAAATAATAGATGGTTGAATTCCTCACTCTCTCTCATGGAACAAGGAGTGGCCGAAACCCAAATTCTGTTGTTACGTTTCAAATTCTACCATTTTTTTGACCTAAATCCTAAAGTAAGAAAAAATTTAATCAGTATTATTTATTGGGAAATTATTTCTTTTATTTGAGTAAATTTGTAGTATCATTTATTGTTTGTATTTAAATAATGGGACTTAAAATTTCGATTAATTATTAATAATATTATTATTTATTTCTTCTTTAAAGCTCGATCGATACAGGATTGACATGATATACGAACAAGCCAAAAACGCTATCATTTTTGAAACCATTGATTGCACCGACGAAGAAGCAATTTTGTTTGCCGCTTTACAAGTTACATACTCTAATTCAGATATAAGACCATATTAAAAATATAATCAAACTAGCGAAAAAAGAGAAATGAGCTAATTTTAATGTAAAAATAAAATAGTGGTCTAAATTAATCTTTTGAAATTTACGAAAGTTTATTAAGTTGCTAAAATTTTACAAAAAAAGAGGAATCAATATAGAAATGGGCAGTTATATTAATCTATTTAAATTAAATGGGAATTATAAGTTATTAATGGAAGATTTCGGACAAGTTTCATAATTTAATAAAGTTACGAAAGTTTTGAGGATTTTTAAAAACCATTTAGGCCATAGCCTAAACAATAATATTTAAATAGGTCTCTGGTATCTACGTTATGATACCATAATTTTTTTATATTTTGCGGTTTGTATCGATTTTAGCGAATAAGTTATATATTCATTATGTGTTTTTCTAAATGTTTTCGATATCTCTCGTTATTGTGTATTGTTCACATCATTCATAACGTGATTATCTGAATGCTTTGAAACCATCTTTAACAATTCTGAAAAGATTCTAATATATTCCATGGAGTGAGGTGAGAAGAACAGCAAAACATTTAGAGCCCCGTTAAAGAAACCAGGACAAATACTTTTTATTCACATACATTCATAAATATACGTGATCTACTAATTCATACTAATCAAGGTGTCTTCAGGAAGAGCCGAAGAGTATTCTCTTCTCACATTAAATGGCATATCGAGGATCCTAACAACCAAATCTCAGTGAATGTTTTTGCTATAGAATTATTAGGCAAATCATGTATCACACTTATACTCTATTGCAGGCGCATACGCAGGAATGTGGGCGATGAATTTATTTTTTTTAGAATTATTCTAGGAAGTTATTCAAGAAATATAATCTCCAGAAGTTTATTAGGTCTAGTGAAGTGACTATAAAATATTGATTGGCAAATGAATCACTATAAAATAGTCTCGAAAAACTTTAAAAAAATATATAAAAATTATTTAAGCATACAATGATATATAAATTTTATTCAAAAAAAAAGTATTGGAAATTAGATTAATGTCTAAAAATATCTTAAGAATGATTAGCATGTATGTAAACTTATAAAGTATTAATTAAAATAAATATCGTTTATTAAAAAAAATAAGAAAAAAATACAATTAAGATGCATATTATGAATTTTATAATGTAAAATTCAATCTTCTTTTAGAATTGAACTAATTTATTCAATGATTTTATCAGCGCTTGGTGTCAACTTCCCATGTATCTTAAGAGGAGCTAACATCTATTTAATCTATTATCAGAGGTAGTACATCTTAGTAGTGTAATTAAACGGCTCGATTTGAGAATTGCTCAAGCTAAGATGGCGTTCATGGCACAAAGGTTTTGACATTTATCAACGAAATCTCGAGGTTTAGATAATATTCTTTTGATTAAAATATTGAGCGTTTTTGAAAATAGGCTCAAATCGAGCCATTTAAAAATAATACTTCTCAGGTATGTTTTTATTCTTGTAAGAGAAGGAAATGTTATTTCATTGGTAATGCTAAATTATATGTTAATTTTTATATATTAGGAAAATTCTAAAATATGCCTGAAATTATAATAAGCATCAATAGCATTTTCTAGAACTTTATCAACCATATTTAACCTTTTATACCATACTTTGCATTCAGCTAATAATGCATCATGGGTAATTTAACATCCTCAATAAAAATCACAAAATTTAATTTTTTTCCTCTATCAAGATTGAGGTGGATTAGAAAGGATTATGCAGTAATAAATAATATTTACAGATTTGTAAATGCTTCCTGATCAAGAAACTTTCATTCATGTGAGTTATAAAAATTATCTAAGAGGTAGAAAAAGAGATTTTAAGAAACGATGCAGTAGCTTCACTAGGGGTGAGGGGGAGGGGAAGTTGAAGTTGTGAACTCAGCACGAAAATTTGTGCACCAAGAAGAAAAATCCAAGATAATAAAATGCCAATTTATACTATTATCATCATAGGGAACCGCTATTTGACAAATAGTTCTTTGAAGTTTTTCTTCAGACATTGTCATGGTTTGACCCGCTATATATGGAAGAATAAAATCAGCTAAATTTTTCGTACAGCCTTGGTATGTTTTCATTTCCGGAGTCATTTTTCCGTTGAATCGTCCTGCCAATTTTAATTCATTATTTTTTACAATAATAAATAAATTAAAATTTTTAAAACTATCTAATTTGTTTAACAATATAAATTTTATAATTAAATTTATAATTATCTAATTTAACTATGCCAGAAAATATTTACAATTCTTTATTGTTATTTAATATTTTACATATAATTTTTATTATATATTTTTAAACCATGTGATCATCTAAAATTGAAAATTTTTATTTGTTTTTTAAATATATTTCATTTTGATATCGTGTTTATTAGTTTATTTCTAAATTGAAACCATAAATTTTTTCGGAGGTTATGGGAGGGGGGGGGGTCAACCTCAAAACCCCCTTGTCTACACCACTGCTATGAGCTTAATCAGGTTCAGAAGATTTTCTGATGTAACTGTTGAAATAGTAGTTGATAGAGGCTGTGATGTTGCTTGTTGTACTATAAAACATATAAGTTTTAATTAAATATTTAGATATAAAAATTATTTTCAATTAAAACTGCAATCTTTTAACATTTTTGGTATTTTATTTGATACATTAACTTTTTCATAATCATATTTGATATATTATTTTCATATAATATAATACTTTATGGATAATAATAAAAAGATATTTGTATAAATACTAAACAATTTTTCAAATATAATACTGTACAATACAATTTTAGTTACAATTGCAATTCAACTTATTTTTTTTACTGGTTAATATTATATAAATACAGCCAAAATTGATTATTTTTTGATAAAAAAATACTGCATATTTCGATAAATTTACTGCCCAAAAATTTATAAATTCTGTCCAAAAAATCATAGCCTTTAGAATATTTGTGATTTCTTAATTAGTTTAAAATTTTAAAAAAATAATTCCTCACTAATAACAAAACATAATAGAAATTTTTACTAACTATGAGCACAATCAGTTTCAGGAATTTCTGATGTAGTAGTACTAGTAGTTGGTAGAGGATGTGATGTTGCTTGACATTTGTAGAACTTGAAATAGGAATTAATAAATGATTGTTTTTTCATAATTCTAAAATATTCACCGCTGTTTTAAATAATTGGTTATATTTTAATATTATTGTGATTGAACTAATAAATAAAATAATTATCACTGAATTAAGTATACAATATTACCTACCTTATTATGTATTTAAACGTGATACTTGATAATTAAGCGCCTAGCCCTATAATATTATACACAAACACACATGAAAATGATAAAATATGAATAAATGATGTTGTTAGTTAGAAAGAAATTTACAAACTAGACATGTTTTTTGAATAAATATTTAAAATATTTTTTAAAAATAATTACTGTTTCTCAAAAAAAAATTTTTGCGGGAGAAATTTAAAATTTGCAGTAGCAATTCCGGTAGTTTTGTGGGAGTCTCCGCTGATGGGGGGAGATCTGGCAACCCTGTCATTGCTCTTTCATAAATATTCGTAATCCTTTTTTTTAAATTTCAGGTTACTTCACATAAAATTGTTATTATATAACTCATATATTTAGTATTATGTAATTTAGAACTTTTTTTTAAATAACAAATTTAAAATAATTATCTGCTTTTGTTATAAAAGAGTAGTATTTTAAAAAAATATAAATTTCAATGAATATTTTTTTTACAAACACTAAGTGAGTATTGAAAGATAATTTTCCACACTCAATTTTATATTAGCCCACTATCTCACAAATATAAAAAAATGATAATATTTTAAAGAATGTCTTGATACTTAGATATATATAGTTGATCTGCATTATAAAATTCAATGACTTTAAAAAAATTGGAACGCGTTCCGAAGGATAGAATGAAACATATTTATTCTACCGGAAGAAAACAGGAAATGTAAAAATGCCTTTTTTTCCGGGTCCTTGATATTTATGAAATGATCCATTGTAAATATTCAATATATAATTATGCTTAGCGTGATAAATAAAAAATTTTCATATAATCTTGGAACGTGCCCGGAATTACCGTTCAGTTCCCTTTTACTAATTTCTCAAAAGTTTATGAGAGAAACTTGGGCGCTTGAAAACCCATATCTCTGTTTAAATAATTACATCATATTTTAAAATCGACAGCTCCGGGCGCAATTAGATTCTGCTTCTGCTATCAGCAACGAGCATCCTACCTCGCAAATTGACTCTTCGACTCTTCCACCCTTTTTGGAGAACGGCTCTAACGGTCTGGGCGATATAGACGAGGCCTTAGACGATCTTCGCGCCTCGCTCGAGTACGCGGCTACCCCCCTTGTTCCTTCGTCTACCCCCAGCGATACGTGTGCTTTAAACAATGGTGTGAATGGCTTAATAAAGGGGAGAAGCAGCGACAAGAAAGATGGAATCGATCAGGAGTCCCGTATTTTGGAGTTAGGAGGAATGTTGGAGATTAGGGACGTGCTGAAACTATTTAAGTAAACGATTAAGTATTATGTTTTGAATTTGCGATAAAAATTTGAAGCAGCACAATTATCTAAGCTACGTTCACAGCTGATTTAATTTTTATGACAAAAAAATGAATTAAGATATAGCAGTCCAGCAAAAGAAACTGTTGGCAGTTGAATCTTAATACATAATTGCTTACGAAATAAATTAGGTTTGGACGCCGAAAAAAATTGATTAAGTTTTTTTAAATTTTAGATTTTTATTTTTTATTTATTTCACATAACACCTAATTAAAAATATTATAATTTATAAATTATAATTATATAATTAAAAATAAAATTCTATAATTGAGTCCTCAAAAAGGAACCATAATTGTGTCTAAAAATTTCTATTTGAATTTTTTGTCGAATAAAAAGGAATTCTCTTGCTTCATTTGTGAAAAGTCGTATTTTATTAGCAATATTTTTTAAAAACAAAAATGTTGAAGGCGAAAAATGCCCGTTAGTAGAAGTCACAACTGGAGTGAATAAAAAGTTTTTAAAATTTTTGTATTTGTTTATCTTTTTAATTTCAGCCTGTGTTATTAAATTGAAATTTATGTTTGAAGGGAATGATGAAACACACGTGTAGTCCCATATGAGTGATTTGCGGCCCAAGGTATGGTTGTCATACCATCAGGTCTTAAACCATCTACTTGAGATAAATTTGATGGTTCGAGATTGTTAGGAATGTGTGCAGCTGTTAAGCTTCTATTTATTATATGGTTTACAGCTGAGTGGCGTTGATGTCGCCCTTGACTAAAAATGCAATTTAAGCCATGTCTACCCCGCAGGCATGAGGCTGTACTATATCGCAACCTAGACATAGACCAATGGTTACTCTCAGTTGTTCATCTAAGAGATTACCAAGGTTGCGACTAGGGAGTGATTCTAACCATTCATGACCACCAAGTCTGTCAGATAATTGAAGGAGTTGAATGCAATCTAAAGGTGGATTGACTGATATATCTGTCTGGTATTTAGAGATTAAAGGTGTGAAAAAATTTTTGTGTGTGATGATTGATGGTAATACGGTGTTAATGGGTGTGTTTGCCTTGTCAATAGCGTCGTCTAATAAACGATCGGTAGGGCATATGAAGCCAGAAATAATAGAATTGTTAGATAATCTAGATGATACGAATGATGATAAGGATAAAAGATTGAGCGGAAAAAAATCTAAACCTCCTAGTTTAGAAGGTAGCTGAGCAAGTGACCAATTGAATGAGTTTAAATTTATGTTTAAAATTTTTTCCAGAAATATTTTAAATTTATCCTGAATTTTAGATATGAATTCATTGTTTTTGAAAAAAGATGATGATCGGAAAATATGCATAAATTTAGGTATGTATAGGCATTTGCGAATTAAAAATAAAGATTGATGAGCTGGTAGGAGACTAAGAATGTGCTCCATACTGTAAAAGCTTTTAAAAATCTTGTTGAGAAAATCTTCCGATTTGGTCGCATTAGCTAATGGGGACCCAAGTAAGGTTAAGCTGTCAGGAGCAATGATTTTGTAGCCTTCCAACTTTTGTGGTTTATTGTTTAAGAAACATAATTCTGTTTTATTTATGTTGAGTACCAGGCCGATATCTTGGGAATTGATTTCCAGGTGTTTTAAGGCGCTTAGTACATTAGCTGAAGGGCCACATATGGTCCCATCGTCTAAATACCATAGATTAAGATCTAGGTTAAAATTTTGTTTAATTTGGTAGATGAGATGATGGATTCCAAAACAAAAAAGAAGAGGTCCTAATGGATCCCCTTGTTGGATGCCCTCTTGGGATAAAATCTGATAAGATCCATATGTCAAAGGCGTCTGAAAATTATATGAGGATTCAATAAATTTAGAATAACAGGGAAATGTTTCATAGAAGAATTTTTAAAATGAGGTACGATGTAGGCTATTGAAAGCATTTTTAAAATCTAGTTTACATATTACAGAATCAGGTGGTGGGTTTTCTAAGTAAATTCTTAATGTATGAGCCGCTATTTTACAACCACCCTTGATCCCAAAACCTAGTTGATAAGAATTTAATATGTTGACAGCATCATGTTTGATGTGTTCAATTATGATTTTGGCTATTAATCTTCTGAAAAAGGAGCCTACTGCAATAGGACGGGTACCACCATCTGGCTTAGATAAAGCAATTAGACGTGCACCAAAAAGGATTTGGTGAGTTTGAATTGGAATATCATTATTTATTATGTTATTACAAAAAGTTGTTAAAACCTTGATGACAGAACTATGGGAAGGATTTTTTGGATTAATTAAGTATTGAAAATAGGAGGGTCTGAAACCATCAAGACCACCTGCTGAGTTTTTATTGAAAGAATTGATAGCATTGACAATTTCATCACTGGTAAAAATTACAGTTTGGTGGATTGGAGAGATGGGTAGATTATCTGTAGAAGCTTCAGGATGTAGTTGTTTCAATAGTTGTGATGTTTCTTCATTGATAGGAGAAAGATGGTTATCTGAGGATATGAGTTTAATTGCACCACCTATGTCACCTTGATCTATTTTATTTGATATAATTTTGCATTTGTGTGTTATATCATCTACTTGCTTTTTAACATTATGATTGTAGTTAATCATTTGAATATTGTCAAAATTATCAATGTTCGATTTTATTTGTTCGTGTAATGGGGTCTCTTTGTTAGCAGGACGTATAAGACATTTATGAGAGAAGGTTAATAAATCTTCTTATGATTTTAAGCAATTTAAGTTATCATTAACTTTTGTGATAAGTTTAATAACAAAATTTGAAATTAGGTTTCTAGATTTATTTGGTAGATGTGTTAAAGTGGGTCTTTTTTTCCATTCAAAAAATCTTTCAAGAAAATCTGTGTTGATAGGGGGAGGATGAGGCTCAATAATATTGAATAAGGGTTTGGGTATTGTTAAAATTTCATTGGTTGGAGATTTTTGAGAGGAAGGACATGTTGACCGTTGACCCTTTGTAACTATGTTTGTATAATAGATTACCCTTTGTCACTTTAATTAGTACTTTTTTAAAATATTGTTTTTTTTTTGTCACAAAATTTTCAGACCAAAAAAATTCCCACTTAAAACGTTTAGGACCCATTTCATGGTATTCAAAGACGTTAGGATATTTTGTTACGAGAATGATGAAAGCTACCCGACGAAGCCTCCTCTCGTTGTGATTGAACTTAAAGGCATGATTTAATCTTTATAAAAATTATTTTTATTCTTAGCATTTCAAACATGTAAAATATTATCAAACTTATATAAATGTTACTTATTACTTTGTAACGGACTGAAAACTCTACTTTTACTTTGTAAAATTTATATAAATATTTTCTTTTTAAAGCTTTGAATTACATTAATATTTGTCGCTTACTCCAAAGAAACGGCGAAATCGAATTTTTAACCAAAAATCTGGTCAACATTAAAAAAGCCCTCTAAAAAATTGACTCGAGCACTAAGGCATAGCATTAAATCAAAGATTTTTTATCGACTATTTTTTTATAATTTTAGGTTCGGAAATAATTCCTGACGTAAACGTCAATCATAATAAATTCGTAATAAAAGTTAGAGTTCCTCAAGCTAAAGGAATCACCGAATATTGGCTCAAATGCGAAAATGTAAACATATTATCACTTCTTAGAATTCTTTATTATATAGTATTATTTTAAAAAATTACTATTTAGTCGAATTTACTTTATTATTATTTAAAATTTTATTCTCATAAAATAAATTGATATTAAAAAGGAAGATCAGTATGCTAAATGGATGGCTGCCTCCCGACTGGCCGCCAATCACGGTAAAGTAAATGATCCTCAAATTTACAAAGCCGAAATGAGCTCGATATTAGCTTTCCTTAACATTCAAAACTCATCTAACACTAAAAATGATTTAAATCGTAAGATTTATTATTACATTGAGATTGTTTATTTTTTTAACTAGGTTGCTGATGGTAAATTTTAAATTGAATAATTATTTAAATACAATAAATTATTGAAAGTCGCCAAACCGGGTTAGACCGCTTCACAATTCGATATTTTTCAAGTTTTGATTAAATAATTCGGTTCCATCTTTTTTAAGACCAGCCAACCATTTTTTTTGGATTGTGTCTGAATTAGTCCTTGATTGACGTTCACTACTAAAAATTATTACCAATAAATTCTATCATCCATAACTAAATTTATAATGTATATATACACATTAAGGTAACAATAACTTAACGAAGGGCAGCTCAGATATGAACGGATGCCAAAATGGCAAAAATACTGCCAAAAATAGACTTTCTATTCTGCTAACCGAAGGTTTGTATTCGAAACCTTTCAGTAGAAATTCAACCTTAGCCCGTGCTATACGCTCCGAAAATATCAAGATCGAGGAATGCGTGCCTAAAAGGATCGCAAAAAAATACAAGACATCCATGGTATTTTTAACACTTTAAACTAGTGTTGTTAAACGGCTCGATTTGAGCCGATTTTTAAAAATGGCTAACTCAATATTTTATCCAGAAATATTACTCAAGCCTGAAGATTTTGCTCATAGATGGCACAAAAGTCTAGACATCTATTAGCAAAATCTGGAGCCTTAGGCAATATTTCTTTGGCTAAAATATTGAGGTAGTCATTTTTAAAAATTGGCTCAAAATGAGCCGTTTATTAATAACACTACTTTAAACTATGAATTTTTATCGATTGTCTATGTTGCTTAACATTCCTCTTTTTTTTATTAATTTTAACTCTTCATATTTTAATTTTATTATCATTTAGATTTATTTAAATCCTTGATTTCAACAAAAAAATAGATTAATACAAAAATAGTCGAAGCTCATAACACGATTTGTGGATTGAATAGTTTGGATACTAAAATGTGTTACATTAGAACCTGGCAAGCTTTGCCCGAATACGGTTTCACATATTTCACTGCTAGATTTATGGGACAAAAAAAAGAGGTAAAAAGAATATCTTGCAAGTTTTCTCACTCAAGCAAATTTTTTTGATCAAATTGAAGAAGCATAAACCTTTTAAATATTTATATCAGAACTGGTTCTAACATTTATATGTACATTGTTTATAGCATTTAATTCTGAGATTGAAGTTAAATTATTTTTTAATGTCTATTAGTACCATCACATTCCAGTTCTTTTAAAATTACAAAATGTTTAGTTTATGTTACGATCATATTCAAAACGTTTCGAGAATTTTTTAATTAAAATCCGGAAAATTCTGGAACTTCCGGAAAATATTCTGGATAATTTTTAAAATAATATCCCAATAACTTGTTTATTGGAAAGTTCCCAGATTCCTTGTTAACTTTCCTTCATCGCTTATTAACAGCTTGGAAATTAGAACTCTCGACCGTATTAAAAAACAACCATTTTTAAAAATATTAAGATGCAAAAATAGTAAAAAAAAATTTAAATCTACGTATCAAACTCTGTTTTTGATTGGATTAATAAAATTTAATTTAATTTTTAGGGGAAAAATCTAAAATTATTCTATCTGCTGTTTATTATCAGCTATATAAGATTTGCAATCTAATTTTTAAATAGTTAAAATTTTTCAAAAGGGGGTATATCATTAAATTATTATTCTAACATCCCCTTCCTTGCTCTGGCAGAATTTCAACTCAAATATCTTATTTTTTCTAGGAACTATTGGCTATAACATTTAACCGCATCATTAAAATGGATATCGGCACTGGAGAACACATTAAAACGTGGAGATTTACTAATATGAAGGTTAATTTTTTAAAACAATACCCTACCAAAACAATTTGATATTTTTTTGAAAAACAGAGATTTATGATTAAATTAATGATGTACCAATACCACTTTTTAAGCCGATTCAATAATAAATTGATATCGACCAATTACGAATCCAATGTGACATCCGATTATAAAAATAAATTAGGGTTTCGTTAATAAATTTTTTTTTTTTAATTTTTTCATTTCTTTAAAATATATAATATCAATTTAAGTTATAAGAAAAAAAATTAAAAATTAGGACGCCTTCCGAAAATTTTATAATATCGGCCGATCCGATATATCGGTACATATCGATTAAATTTTACCTGAAAATGCTAAAATCTCTTATAATTTTCGTGTATAAAATCTTTCAAGATTAAATCAAAAAAAATTGTATCAATATTTATTATTTAAAAAAAAAGAATTGGTCTGTCAATTGGGAAATTAAAATGGTTATTTTAGAGTTCGAAAATAATTCTAACAGTAATTCGGAAAATATCGAAAAACTATGCTTTATGTGCACATGCGCCGATTGCAAAACGGTTCACGAGTTCATAGGCGGTTACGTGTTCATGTCCATGAGGTCTAAAGAAAATAATTCACAGGTTTTGGACGACGTTCTATTTCACAAATTGACTGGCGGTTGGAGTTGATGGGTTCATTATTTCCATAGATTGAGCTGCTGGAAATCGCTTGAATAAATGATGAATTATTTTTATACACTACTATCCAAGAAATTTTGTTACCACATTGGCTAATTTTCATTATATTTCTCTTTACGAACATGAAAAATAGTCAAATATTTTTTGTAAAATTTTTATACCCTTTTATTTGTAATATATTTTAAGCTCCTTTTTTTATATATAAAATAATTATAAACTATTTTTAATCAAAGTAAACTATTGAGATATGCTACAAAAAAAATTAAATTTTAATTAAGCTTGGACGTAAATTACATTTTAGTGTTAATGCTATTTTATAAAATTTAAACGAACGAAGTTTTATAGATATATATATACTTCGAACCTATCTAAATAACAGTTCTTCCAAATAGCATTTTTTAAAAAAAATTACATTACAATGACGCCTTTATACAAAATTATTATATATTTTTAAAATGAACAAAATCCTATGAGACCAATAAATACACTTTTTTTATATATATTAATATTTTATACTGTCAATTTATTTCTTTTATATAAAAAAAAATTATAGCAATATATAAATTAAAAATTATTATATATTATTTAAATAAAAATTATTGTACGTAAATAAATTAAACATTTTGCCACAAAAAAAAAATAAATTTGAAATTTTATTTTTTTTCGTTGTAGAGATATAACTGTTCTTCCTTCATCAATTTTTTAAGTTTGTTGAATAAATTATGTTTTTGATCTTTGGCCGACGAAATTTCAGTATTATACATATCGATCTAAGAATATAGAAAATTACAAATTAGATTTTTATGTAAAGCATGATATTAATATTACTAATTGACGATTCACTGATTAAAATGCAAAAAGTGTGCATACATTGAAGTCCGCCAAAATTTAGATGAATGTCAAAGATAATTATATAAAATAATGGCGTCCACTATAACAGCCAATGACATTGACAACTAGAGCTGACTTCAATGTATCTACACTTAATAATTAAAGTGTCAGTTTAGGTTGGTATTAATGTCACTCTCGTTGAATATTTTAACTCCTATATTACAAAAATTTATTCATAGTTAAACTATCCTTGTAGAAGTATATTCAACTTTTTATAGAGGTCGATCATTGATATCCATCAAATTGCAAACCAAAAAATATACTGCTACTGTTCCAGTTTATCCAAACTTTTGATATATCGGATAAAATATTTTACATCAGCTGATGACAGATATTTTTTAAAAAATATGAAGATTGGGGCCAAATATTAATTTATTTCAACATAATATTTTCGATTAATTGATATACTTTATTTATTCCATTCCAAGATAATATGAATTTAGTAAATCACCTAAAATAACATTTTTAATAATATATAATTGAGACCACTCTTCGATGATAGCCATTTATAGCCCCAATTGAGAATATAGATAATGAGGGTCATGTGGTAGAAGAGGTGTTTAAATAATTAAAAATTGTTTGGTTGGGCATTTTGAAGCCACAGACCAGAGTTTATATGGGCAACCCATCGTAGAAATCAATTTTTGATTAAATTCCTGTTATCAAAATTTCCGCTAAATAGAATTAAAAATTCCACTGAATTCGGATCGGATCCAGAACCCTATTTGGACCTCTATTTACGAAATCTCGGGGCTTGCATAATCTTATATTAGCTAATATCTTAATCGGGCCGCTTTTAAAAATAGATCCAAGTCATTTAACAATACTATATATAGTATAGAAAGAGGGTTATGTTTTTTATTCACTTTCGTTACAAATCTTTTTCTTTATAAATATTTATCTAGATAATTTTCTGAATTGTAGATAAGATAATTTAGGAATCAATTTTAAACACGGTCATTTTTAAAAGAAATTAAACATTCGTCAATTCGTAAGATCTGATATATCTATACCAATCGAATATTTGAATTATTCTAAAAAATAGATTTATTAAAATCTTAAAAGGTGATTTATAGATGTGGAAAAAGAGTAAAATAATAAAAAGTTCCATACCCAATTAATAATCTTTTTAAGATGTTTATGTTTATTTATCTTGTCACTTCTTATTTTAAAAGTTTTACAATTAATATAATCACATTTAACTCTAAATAAGGTTCTGTTACTTGATATCTAGAATGGAATAAATATTAGAATATTACTTTTTACATAAATATTAAGTTTATATTATTTTTCTCCTGATACTTAGTGATATGTTCTTATACATAACTTGTATTTATTATATTATATAATTATTTAGAAATATATTATCCGGTAGATGGAGGATTTTTTTCAAAGTTGGATATAAAGAACTAGATTATTGCTAAGTGTTTATTTCTAGGCTCTCACAATGAATTAAAAGTAAAACTAACATAGCTAATATAACCCTTCCATAATCAATTTTTTTATTAAATCGGGCATGGGCTTTTTATCTTTTTCACTTATTTCCCATGGGCGTTTAAGCAAGTGGTTTTGCCTCTTGCTCGCACAGGTAACTGCAACCTGCCCAAAAAACGTGGATGGTCCTTTTAATATTTCCCATCTTTTATCCCAGTTTGATAGGTTTTCATGAGAAAACCAAGCGTGGATCTGTTGTATATATAACTCTATTAAATGTATGACGCTTAGGGATAGTGCGTTTAATATCACGTATTCTTATAAAAAATACCTCTATACTGGTAGAATATGTTATTGCTGATAGAAACATTTGATAATTAAAATTTATTCTGCTAAAAAAAATCCAGAAAATTATTATTGAAATTAATATTATATACATATGTTAATCTCTGAGAAAATTATCAAATAAGGAAAATATTGATACTTTGAACTTGTAAAATATTAACTTATGGTAATGACTCAAAATTCAAAAAGAAATAATTTATAGTTTATAATATTTATTATAAACAGATCTCTTTTCTATAATTGACATTTTTCAGAAAATTAACAATCATCATAATCATATTTATTAATGGATCTAAAAAGATTAAATTCAAGTAAATAATTACACCCCCTCCCCCTCATAAAATTATCTAGCCTCCCCCCTACGGCCTAGACACCTCTGTCAACCATGGGCAAAAAAATATAGAAGATCCAAAAGCATTCCGCAATGCTAGTTGGGAAGGAGAAAGGAATAACGAAGGAGATGACGCGGGAAAGCTCATCGACGCTACGGAATCCAAAGACGCCATAAGACCTCCTCTCGTTTGGAGATGCTCAACTTATAGCAACTAAGCTGGAAGAGACAATGGACTAGTATAAATGTTTAGCCTAACCAGAGAGAGGAAAAAGACATAACTAAAACAAAATAAACAATATTTAACTCTCTGTAAGGATGAGAAAGAAGAGGAGATACTGATGAAAATAATGATGACAAATTGAAACCCTTCAGCAAAGATGTAAAAATAATAAGGGAGCATTGGAACCAAATACTACCATGCAAGCAGGTCGTCAATATAAGCAATGGAAGACAAAAACGCAGTCTTGTTAAGGAGCGGCGCTACAAAAGCGGCGCTCCGGAGCGCCGCTACATTTTTTTAAAAAAAGCTGGAGCGCCCCTCCTTTTTAAAAATGAGAAGCGGGAGCGGGAGTAGCTCCTTTTAAAATTTAATATATAAATTATATTATTTTTTTGTTAATTAAAATTTAATGAAAATAAAATTTTATTTTATTTAAATTTATTCATTATTAAATGTTAAGCCAAGTTTTATATTGATTTTTCATCTAATCATTTGAAACATTAAACATCAGTTTTTCCTTTTTATATTGAAAATTTTTTGAAAAATCTTGCAAGTCAATTAATATTCATTTTATAGATATATAATAAAAAATAGTTTTAGATATTATGGATTTAGAGATTATAGAAGAAGAAACCGATTTTCCATTTCCACCATACAAAAAATATTTCAAGCTTATAGATGATAAAGTCAACTTAAAGGCGAAATGCCTATTGTGCATTAACAATAAAATGATTTCTTTCTCTAAAATCAGCAGCTTTAATTTAAAAAAACACCTTAAGGTAAAATCAATATTTCTTTATTTTAATATAATAATTTTTTTTTAAATGGTTATAATTATTTTTGGGCAATTCATTACATTAGTTGAGCTTGGGTTGTCAGATATGATGCTTTTTTATATTTTTATATTTATTTTAATTTTCTCATTACTTGTTCAACCTCCTTTTTATACATTTTTTTTCTAAATTTAAAGTATTTTTTTAAATTGAATTGTAACATCCAAATTAAAAATATACATTTTATTATGGTAAAATTTATATTTTATTTAATTTTAATTTGATTTTTTCTTATTTTATTTTGATCAATAAACTTGGAAAATAATTATTTATTTTTATTTTATATTAATAAAATAAGTAAAACAAAATAATAAAAAAAAAATTAAGTACCTAAAAAGATATTTATACTGCTCCTTAAATATTTGTCAATTTCTTATTTAAAAAATCTACCATGATAATTTGATGTTTTAGATTATCAGTTAAAAATAAAGTTGATTTTTATAAAATAAATTTAAATTTAATTTATAAATTTATATTTAGAGTGTACATGATAATCAATATTCAAAAATGAAAATCATATCAATAGTTATAATAAAAAAGATATTAGCCAAAATATAAAGTCTTCCTCTTGTGAGAAAAAACAGTCAATATTAAATTTTAGTCAAAAAACATATGAACCTACAAAAACTGAAGGAGATAATGCAATCATTGATTATGTCATTGAGACACTAGTTCCTTTATCAACTGTAGATAATCCTAGCTTTGTCAAAATGATAAAAACGTTTTCCCCTTCAGCAAAGGTAATGTGCCGCCAAACACTAATAGCAAAGATAGGTTTACGTTATGATAAAATGATGGATGATATTATAGAAATTCTTTGTATGATTGCTGGAGTGGATTTAGAAGGTAGTGCCTATATTTTTAAATGTGCTTGATTAATTTAACTTATAAAGGCCTTTTTTGGGTGTAACTGCTCATTGGATTGACACAAAATCATTGCAAAGAAAATCAGCAGCTTTAGCCCTAAGACGTGTTCAAGGCAAGCATACTTTTGATGTTTTGGCTAAGATGATAATTGATATACATAAAAGGTTTAAAATTCAGAATAAAGTGATAAAAACCATTACTGATAATGGTAGGAACTTTGTGAAGGCATTCAGGTAATCTCAAATATTTATTTTAAAATTATAACTTTCCTTTTATTTTTTAGAATGTTTGAAGATAAAAGTTCTGAGATTGATGATGATTTCCAATTTGTGGATATTGATGATATCCTAAATAATAGGACAGAAAGCTTTGATTATCTCCCTCAACATTCAAGATGTGCTTGTCACAATCTTAATTTGGTGGCAACAGTTGATGCAGAGAAAGCTTTAGGGGGTAGAAGCTTTCAAATAGTATCTCAAAGTTTATTCCAAAAGTGTCAATCTTTGTGGAATAAACAAAATATGTCTACAAATATGGCGGACGAAATTATCAAAAAGTTGGGTAGGTATCTAATATGCCCAAATTCCACTAGGTGGAATTCGTATTATGAGTCTATGGTTTTGCTAGATAAAATGTTAGATGAAAAACAAAAGGACCTTGATGAGTTGTGTGATAACCATGGGCTTATACGTTTTACTCCCAAGAACGTAAATTTATTAAAGAGTATAGTCAAGTAAATATTAATATAATCGTTATCTTAGTGATATAAATAAATTTTAGGTTATGGAACCTATGAAAAAAGCTCTGAAAATCCTTGAAGGGGAGCTTCATATGGACATGGGTTTCCTAAGTTCTACCATTTTTAAACTCATTTCAAAATTAAATGAATTATCAGATTTAGAGTTTTGCCAACCTCTTGTAAAGTCTCTAATCAGCGGTATTAATAAAAGGTTTATAATAAAACATAAATTATATCTATTTAAATAACCTTATTGCAGATTTCCAAATATTTATAATGATGATAATATAATTGCAGCGATTGTCCATCCTGCATTTAAATTAAATTGGGAATGGATAAAAGATCCAAAAAATATGGAACTAAAAGCCAGATTAATTAATTTTTTAAGGAAACAAATACCCGACGGAAAAATAGCTACAACTAGTTCACGGGAACCTTGTAATGATTTGGAAGATTTCTTTGGATTCCATGAAAATAATATATTGGATAGATATTCTTTAAATAATGATAGCAAAATTACTATTTTTGAACAATTCCATGAATTAAAAAATATTTATATTAAATACAATACCCCGCTTCCCTCTAGTGCTCCTGTGGAGCGCCTATTTAGTATCGCAAAACAGGTCTTATAGGAGAAGCGTGGGTGTTTGTTAGATTCTAATTTAGAAAATTTATTACTTTTAAAAGCTAATAAAAGATTATAAATTTTGATATATCATATAATATAAATAAAACGTTTTGATAAAAAAATATGATTTTGTTTCGTGTACCTTCTAAAAAAATGAAAATCAAAGGAGCGGCACTCCATTAGTTGGAGCGGGAGCGCTCCTTTTGAGAAGGTAGGAGCGGGAGTCGCTACTTTTAAAAAGGAGCGTTAACAAGACTGAAAAGAAAATGATGATATTGAATTTGAATCAAAACAAGACTCTACCATTAAAAGTGATACATCAGTTATTGAATGACAATGAATTTTAAAATATTATAAATTAATATTATGGATATTAATCAAGCACATTTAAAAATATAGGCACTACCTTCTAAATCCACTCCAGCAATCAGCTGTGGTACACACATAAGATACAAAGAATTTCTATAATATCATCCATCATTTTATCATAACGTAAACCTATCTTTGCTATTAGTGTTTGGCAGCACATTACCTTTGCTGAAGAGGAAAACGTTTTTATCATTTTGACAAAGCTAGGATTATCTACAGTTGATAAAGGAACTAGTGTCTCAATGACATAATCAATGATTGCATTATCTCCTTCAGTTTTTGTAGGTTCATGTTTTTTGACTAAAATTTAATATTGACTGTTTTTTCTCAAAAGAGGAAGACTTTATATTTTGGCTAATATCTTTTTTATTATAACTAGTGATATGATTTTCAATTTTTGAATATTGATTATCATGTACTCTCTAAATATAAATTTATAAATTAAATTAAAATTTATTTTATAAAAATCAACTTTATTTTTAACTGATAATCTAAAACATCAAATTATTAAGGTAGATTTTTTAATAAAGAAATTGACAAATATTTAATGAGCAGTATAAATATCTTTTTAGGTACTTATTTTTTTTTATTATTTTATTTACTTATTTTATTAATATAAAATAAAAATAAATAATTATTTTCCAAGTTTATTGATCAAAATAAAATAAGAAAAAATCAAATTAAAATTAAATAAAATATAAATTTTTTTACCATAATAAAATGTATATTTTTAATTTGGATGTTACAATTCAATTTAAAAAAATACTTTAAATTTAGAAAAAAAATGTATAAAAAGGAGGTTGAACAAGTAATGAGAAAATTAAAATAAATATAAAAAAGCATCATATCTGACAACCCAAGCTCAGCTAATGTAATGAATTGCCCAAAAATAATTAAAACCATTTTAAAAAAAATTATTATATTAAAATAAAGAAATATTGATTTTACCTTAAGGTGTTTTTTTAAATTAAAGCTGCTTGCTGATTTTAGAGAAAGAAATCATTTTGTTGTTAATGCACAATAGGCATTTCGCCTTTAAGTTGACTTTATCATCTGTATCATCTATAAGCTTGAAATATTTTTTGTATGGTGGAAATGGAAAATCGGTTTCTTCTTCTATAATCTCTAAATCCATAATATCTAAAACTTTTTTTTAGTATATATCTATAAAATGAATATTAATATGACTTACAAGATTTTTCAAAAAATTTTCAATATAAAAAGGAAAAACTGATGTTTAATGTTTCAAATGATTAGATGAAAAATCAATATAAAACTTGGCTTAACATTTAATAATGAATAAATTTAAATAAAATTTTCATAAAATTTTAATTAACAAATATTATTCAGCCCTAAAAGGAGCTACTCCCGCTCCCGCTCCTCATTTTTAAAAAGGAGGGGCACTCCAGCTTTTTTTGAAAAAAGTAGCGCCGCTCCTTAACAAGACTGTCTTTAATATTTTGAATTAATTTTCTTGAGAATTTCTGTTTTAGTAAGAATATTAACCCTAATATACCAATTTCTTTCAGAAGAAATAGAACTAGGAATTTTTAATAAAATCCACTTCTCTTAATGAGCATGGTAGGCAATGCCCATTCCAGTAATTAGAGGTAAATATCTGATTGTTTCTTAGAGAAGTTACTGCTTTCTACATAATTTGTTATTAAACATGCCACTTTTACTAAATTTATAATATCACTTAAAAAATTTCACCACTTTGTAAAATGCCTATTTCTTGAATTATATCATATACTTATTCAAATTCACTAAAATACTTCCCTTGATATCATAGACCCAATAAATAAGCATCATTAGATCACATACATTTACAAATTTCCTTCAGGTCAAATAGTCTTTAGGTCAATTGACCAACTTATTTATACTGGTTTTTATAGATATTTTATATAAATTATAAATGGATCAAAATTCTAAATATGCTGGGATTTTTAAATCTAAAAAATGATTCAAAGTTTTAAAAATAACACATATTGCCGCTAACATATACATGACATATTTATAGTTTATACATAGAAAATAGAATACTATTATCATATGTATATAAATATGAATAACAATATTTCGGCCATATTTTTTCAATATAAAAAAATATTAAAATATATGCAACATTTTTTATTGAGAGATTTTAACAACCTGGTTCAAACTAGTCAATTCTATTAGGCACCATATTTAATAAAAATATTATATTTATAAATTATTTTATATAAGAAAAACTTATTCTCCATTATTTTGATTACAATCTCATTAATTTTTAATAGAAATTTCATTTATATCAAAAATACAAACCTGTTTATTAACATCTGCTATAGATTTGATTAAATATTCCATGGCTACTTCATCCTCCTTTATTTGCTTTTTTATTTTAGTTATTTCATCAATAATCTGAAGAGATTTTTGCTCTGATTTACACTAAAATTATAAAATATTTTATAAAAGTTACCATTTTCGTTCATCTTTAGTTGTTTATTTATCACTTGCTCTTTAATTTTTTTATGAATAAAATTAGTTTTTAAATCTTCTTCCATGATGCAAGTTTATATCACATACCTAATATAAAAAATATTGTTAGTATATCATCAATTGCCCTAAAATGGTGGATATCTCAACTCTTCTTAAAAATAATTTACACGGTTTATTCGTTAATAATTTAGGTAGAAAGAAGCGAAACAGATAAAAGGTTAATATACGCATTTATTTTTTAGGAAGAATTTATTTAAACTATTATGCATAAAAAATGTAAGTGTATTATTAACATTCTATTCAAAAAAAATATTTATTTTCATTCCTACCATAAGTTTAGTGCGCTCTCATACATTCCTACCATAAGTTTAGTGCGCTCTCATATATCCTAGAATCAAATTATTTAATTGTTATTGCTAAGATTTAGTTTGAGATTTATCAATCGAATAACTGATATTTATTTAAATATAAATAGCTTATAAAATGTTTTTGCTTGCAGAATTTCGTTTAAATGATTTAGAGATTTTATTCACAAAATTTTCAGCTGATAAAATGACAACGCTTAAAAATATTACCCCAAATAAAGAAGCTATGCTTCTTTCAATGAAGAAACAATTAAAAGATAATATAAGTTCTATAATTGACAATTTTTCTGAGATTGTCAAAATAGCTAAGGTAAAATATTTTAGTATTATTCATAACTAATTATTTATAGATTGAAGAAATTGGACAAGTATCAAAATCAACCCAAAATGAACAAGAATTATTTGAAGCTCAAGTTAGAGCTGCAAATATGGTAATCATTATTTTTAAGTAAATATAAATTTAGACCCCAGGTTAGGGCTTCACAATCTTTGTTGAAATTAATATCTGACCTCAAACTTTTATACATATTAAATGATTTTAAATCAATAAATGAGAGTGTAGCTCATAATTGTCAGGTAATGTCTTTTAATATTATTGATATAATTTTTGATTAAATAAATAGGAATTTAAAAGTTTACAATTAGATTGTAATGAAAAGTTAAAGATAATTAGAGAAGAAATGACTTCACATTTATATGAACTTGAAGATGAATATTACTCATCTCTATATAAATAATTCTAATTATGTATACTTTTTATACTAAATATTGACATTAGAATAGCTGATATTATGGTTGGAATTTGGATTTTACGAGATAAAATCATTGTATCCTTTTTAGAGTTCAATCATTTATACCCAATAAATGTTTTTAAGACTATTTTGTAATGAATTTATGATTAATTCTGTAATTTAAATATTATTTAGTCTAAGTATAAATATATCAGTTATCTACCAATAACCAGTATTGCTATTATATCATCCTGATAATATGCTTAATTGGAATCGATAGTGCCATTTATATATTTTTTTATCACAATGGGACAAAATTATATATATATATTCAGCTTTAAAGGTTAGTTGAATATTTTTTGATGAAATTTTATATTAAAAAAATTATATTTTCTTGCAAAATATCAAAATAGAGTCTGTTGCATCTGGTCTATTGAAAATTATCTGCACCAGTTGTCCAGCTTGGCTTGTTAAATTCTTTGTCAGGACTTGCTAATTTATTTGTGGTCAAGTTTTTTATTATAAAAGAAATAATTATTTCATGTAAATATACATATATTTAAAAAAATATATAATTACAATAAAATATAAGTAATTCTTGTGGGTACATAACGTTATTTTAAAAAATTATAATTAATACAAATGATTATATGAGTGAAAAAAAAAGTTCTGAATAATTAAGGGAAGAGGAAGAAGATCTAGATTAATCGGGCACCTCGGGGAATGTAACATGTGAAATTACAATTTATTAGAATTTATATGCGTTGGCATAAGTAAACATCTTCTTTCAGGTCTCCTGATTTAGTTCTTAAGGCTGCCAATCATTTTAAATAGACTAAGAGCCTGGCTTCCAAAAGATGTTAGATACCAATTTATACTCATCAGGAATATCCACATATTTTTCTTCGTTTTTAAATATTCTGTGTATTTTAAAATGTTCTTATTGATGTTGGAAAGTGAGAGGAGGTAAATGCAGGAGAAATCCCACGCTAGAAATTTGCCATTCTCCCAAGGAATTTGTGTAGTTCCATAGGAAATTTGGGCCAGTGTTAATTATTTTATATGAATTTCAGTCATCATATTTTTAATATGATATATCTAATTTTTTTCCAATGTTAATTAATATATCTCTCCTCAATGGCTATCTATTTCTTTAACAACCATTTTATAAATCAATTATAATGTATTGTGCATATGTAATTGTATCATATGAATAAATTGTTTAATTTTTTGTAAATTTACTATATTATTTATAGATTTATTTTTGTTAGAAAGCTCTTAAAATACTAAGAAATATGTATATTGTAATTTATTTGGAAATAGTATTAATTAAAATAGCTTGAAATTCAAAAAAATGTATCAAAATTTTGTTGCATGCAATAATGACCTATTAAAATTTTGCCAAAAATTAGAGAATTTTTTGTATAAACGTATTATATTCACAAATTGCATGACCCATTCTGTTTTATTTATTTTTTTAAAATTTCTGGCCAAGCGCATCTTTTTTTTTAAATTTACCTGGTTCATGGGCTGGGCTTTGTTCTAATGTCAATTATTTTAATTTATTCTTAATATAATTTTTAGCAGTTTCCTTCCCATGCTTTTCATTTTTTTTAAATATTTACCTTTTTTGTTTCAATAATTAAATTTTTATATTATGCCCCTGATTGGTGCCTTTAGAAAAAATGAAGCTTATCACAATCCAAAATAAAATATTAATCTTCATTTGATCATAATTATTTTAAGAATAAAATTGATCAATTTAATTAAAATAGGGTTGAGAGATCCAACTTGACATGTCATTAGTTAACAATATCAATTTTTTCCTTTAAAATCATTGCCGATCATTTTTGCTATGAAAATCGATATTTAAAAATATTGAAATTCCTGAGATTAATACAAATAAATTAAACTTTCTTTTTATGGGGATATATTTTTTAATTATAATGCAACCAATAAAAAATAAAATTTTCCAACTTAGAAAATTAAGTAAGTGACTGAAATTTTGAAAACTCTCAGTTTTAAAAAAATTAAGATCTATTATCAATTTAGAATCTAATTAGATCTTTAATGTGAATGCAAAGCTGTTAATTATGGTCATCCTACTATTTATATATAGTCCTTTATTTAATGTTGACATTGTAGTTAACTGATTGCCATTACAATAGTGCAATCATTTTGTAGTGTTACACCACAACTATATTTTTAAAAATATTCAGAACAGAACTAGAACCTTTTTAGGTCTAGATTCCAAACTCTGACTGTAATTATGTGTTCACTAAATAAGATTATGTCCAGTACCCTGACTTACCTCTTATTTCAATGAGACAATCATATTGTACCTAGCATGTTTAATGACCCTGCAATTATCAAAGAATTAATTTAATCAAACTCTGATTACCCTTCTTACTTACCTAAATTCAAGAATTTCCAAATACATCTCTTCTCTCATTAAGTTTTTTTTTCCTTTATAAATTTCTAATTATTTTATGTTCACCCCTCTAACTATAGACTCAACTCAAAATTTTAAGAGCTCTCCTAAAAGATATTTATACATGATACTTTTAGTTTAGATATTTCTGTTATGTCTTAAGATTATTGAAAATCCTTATCAGGGTTTCAAGTTATAAGTTGTACTTTAAGCATAGCACTTATCAAAATTAATGTTATTTTAAGTTATATAAATATTATTTTTATTTTGCCAATTTAAATAAAGCCAATTAAATGGCATTAAAATTTATAAAAAGTCATAGATTTTATAGGTCACATTGTACCTTTTTATTGTTAGAAAAAGGTATACAAAATAATCAAATTTTATTTAAAATTAATTACACTTATTATTGTGCATATTATTTATCAAATATAAAGAATTGAAATGAGTTAATATGTAAAAACTTTCCAAAATTTTATATATTTTTTTAAATATTGGGTTGAGAGGGGGCACAGTTGATATAATTTTTTTTAAACATTTTAAGTAATTATAATTTATCTTTATATTAATTTAATAAATTCATATGATTAAAATAGAGTTTAAATTTAATGAACCACAAATGGTAGATAAACTATTAATGGGTTAATAAATAACATTAGATATTTCACGGCACGCTAATGGCCAGAAACGTTTTTATTCTATAGTAAATAAAAAACGATGATGGATAACTCTGGAATCAAATAGAAGCCTTTTAAATGTGATTAGATGTTTTATTTTGTAAAACTATCTTAAATATAGATGTTCTTTGTAAAAAATGAATTATGGACAGAAAGAGAAATATCTTAGAAAAAGAAAATACCTCAATTTTCAAAATAAATTTTAAACACTTTCTGGTTGTCCAAGACATTTCTGACCTTGGCTCATAAAAAAATTTGTGCATGTGACAAGCTGAGGATAGGCTTATAAAATTTGGACTGTGCTGAGCTTGAAAAATTGGGCTATGACTTTTATCAATTTTAAAAAATTGAAAATAATTTTTCACTTTTAAATACAATGACAATATTCTGACTTCTCTAGGGCTAGTAATACAAAGCAATTAGTGTTTTTTTTAACCCTATAAAAATGTGTTTTAATATTCTGTATATATTTTTTAATATATTTTATTTTGATAAAATTTATATTGTATCTTATTATTTTTTAAATTAAAATCATTTTTTAAATAAAAATATTTAACAATTAAATATCATTTTTAAAAAAAAAAATTTTCAATTAAAAATTATGATCCAAAACCTTTATGTCAATTGAAAAATTTTTTATGTACTCCAGGCAGGAAAATATTTATTTACAAGTATATTTATTAAATAACCAAATTTCCCCTAAACCCAGTTTAACTGTTTTTAGATATTCATTTATCATCAATTTTTTTTTATAATCTTTCAAAATGAGTAAGTTCAACAATTCTTTGCTAGAAAGTTTAGAAAAAATTATTTTATTGTTTTATGCATATTTTTACAAAAATTTTGATCATTTTTCAATAAATTATCTAAGGCTACACAAACTATTAATAAGGATAGTGGTGTTTTCACTGGCGTAACATTTTAAAAAAATTTGTGAAAGGTATATTTATAGGTTCATGGTGACCACTAAAAATCTTGAATCTTACTAATTTTTAGAAACATGATTTTTATAATATTGATACATAAGAGTAGGACTATCCAGAAATGTTAAAATTTTAATAATAAATCATTTTAAGAAAAAATATTATGTGACTCTCTTAAGATTATTTAAAACTTTATAATGATTATTATAAGCATGTTTTTCTTATCCTATTATTATTTTTAAAAAAAATTTTGTTTCCTAAATATTTTAAAAAAGCTACCTATGATTAGCAGTGAGGATGATTATAAAAAATCATTGAAATATAAGGCCAAAGTTTTAATATTTACATATAAATTATTGGAAATATAAAATTTATTCATAATATTTCTATATGTACATAGAAGTTGATTGAGATGAGATTTATAATCCAATAATATAATATAAATATGATTTTGTATTAATAAATACTTTAAAATATAATTTGAGCTTATTCAAGAGTTAATGCAAATTAATGCAAAAAAAATCAATTTATATCATTGCATAAAAATTGTACATATTTTTTAACATTATGCATGAGTATTTTATTTAGACTTAGAATTTGAAAATAATCATAATGTAGATTAGAATAAAATTTTACCTGAATTCAATAAATATTTTAAAATTTATTTTAATGATTGAGTTTTATCAAGGTTTAAATTGACTTAGAATTGATCAGTAGGGTACTGTAGAGTTTCCAATAATATAACCACAAGCAGGGCAAGAATGCTCAAAGGTTGATTGTCCTCCACATCCACATGGAGATGCGCATGGTATTGGTATTGGAACAGGGCAAAAACATCCAGGAATTGGTATACAACATAAGCAAATGCCAGTACTTGCCCCTGTTGGTGCACAGCAAGTACTATCAACTTCTCTAACTCTGGAAACAATTTGCATTCCACAATTTGGGCATATCATTGGAACTGGCATATTGCTAAGCTGCATCATGTTAGTTTGATACATAATTTGTTTTTGGATTATATTTTATATAAT